CTCCGTTCTCGCAGTGCGTGAAAATGAGAGCTTTTCATATTGACCCTATAATTATTTTTGCGATGTGAAGAGAATAAATTTAATTTCCACGAGGATACAAGCGCTGTTAATGAAGTATGATGTTTCCAGCAATCTGTTTGTTACAGTTTCTATATCCATAGTTTAATTCTAAATTAAAATCTATTTTTTTCCACAACGCTATATCTTGTCACAGCATGGTAGCAGATAATTGGCGAATGACAAATGCATTTGACAATAGGTGTCCGCTGATGAATATTGAATATTTAACCAAGATTACAAAGATTTTTGTCTAACTAATTCAGTGTCGATCTCTAAAGAATGTAGATGCTTAGATATCATCGCTCTTCTGAATATTATTGCCGGATAATCTGTTGAAGGTAGGGAATTAACCTTCATATGTATACGCAGCAATTTTCCCCAGGACGTTAAACGAAGCTAAGAATTCATTAGAAAACAGGCAATAAGCGGCAAACTTTATTCGAAGCATTATCGTGCATTCATGGTACCCCATTCGCATGCTCTCACTTTGTGCATAATTTATTTTATTCCCACAATGGCCTTATTCCACACTATAGACGGTAGTATCACTTACACAAGAGGATATTAATTTTACCTTAACTTTAGAATCGGCCAAGAACGGTACGTACTTGGTAATCTAGTGAGAGTGTAAACCACAACCTTAACTCCCAGTGTAGACATGGTCCCTGAAATTCGGCTAAAACTCAATGGTTCAATTCCTGCGCTCTTAAATGAATATGAGCTGGAATTTGTATCCAGGAAAATTGAGGTGTTGAGTTTATTTTTTGAATCTTCCGCGCAATTCCAAATATATTGAAATTGTGTGGCGTACATGAGATTTGTTCTAGCCAGTGAGTTTTCACTGCCACGTATGCAACATATGTCAGGCTTTACACGCATTGTGAGTTTCAGTTTTACATGTTATATATCGCGCAAAACAGTGTTAATTAAAAGTCTCACAACTCTCTCACTGTTAAATAATTTAAGAAAGGTCTCCCTGTTGAATGTTGAAGAGTTTAGAGCGACTATTCACTGTTAGTACACATTGCATGAAGGAAACCATGCATTTAATTCATAATTCCATTTCATTCATTTCAGTGTTGCATGGAGAAAATAGTAAAACTATTTGCCTGGGATTTGTTTGTCCATAAGAACTTATGGAGGTTATTGATATGTCTACATCTGATGATGAGACCAATGACTCGGACTTGAACACTGCTGATCCAGTATTGGAGTCTGAGCAACTACAACGAAATTATGAGAAAACTGCTGATGATTATGTTACCTCAACTAAACTGTAATTATTCAAATGTGAAGTTGTGAATAATATAGTGATCTTTATTATGCCCATTACCATGCTCACAATCTGTCTATATTCATTTTTTTAGAATAAACCATTGGAAAAACAAAAGAGATGAACCCAAGGGCATTGTCTTTCTTTCTCAACTACTGCTTCTTGTACAACATTGTCACATCTGTTTTAGTCCTAAACCACAAGTAAAAACAAGTCGCTGTGGAACCATGATAGTTGTCACCACACATTGCAAGACCTGCAAGGAAAAATTTATCTGGAAAAGCCAACATACTCTTCTAGGAAAGTTTCCAGCTGGGAATATTCTTTTTAGCTTTGCTATCCTATGTGCAGGAGCATCCCCCAGAAAAGTACTTCAGGTGTTCAAGAATATGGGAGTTTTAGGCTACAATGAAGTGACATATTACTACCATCAAAGGCAATTTCTCTTCCCCTCCATTGTAATGTATTGGAATTCCTACCAGAAAAAGATTTTGGATTCTCTGAAGGGAAAAGAAGTAGTGTTAGCTGGAGATGGACGACAGCATGGGGCATTCTGCAAAGTACTGCACATACACTTTGTTTTGTTGCACAGTTGGACTCATAATTCACCTGGTAGTTATTCAGGTAATTACAAAGCCAAAATATTCATAAAAGAAAAAAAACATAGGCCAATTACCACAATGTTTCACTAAGTACACTTCTATTTAACAGGCAAACCAAGCAGGGAGTAGCACAGCAATAGAGGCTCTAGGTCACCAAAAAGCTTTGTCATTTCTTCTTTCAACTGCTATCATCATAACATTTGTATCAGACCGTCATGCGACAATTACCTAGTGGATGATAGATACGTGTCCTAAAATGTGCAAGCAAGCAGTCATAAAACACTTCTTTGATTTGTGGCATATTGGGAAAAGTACTTGTTTTTTATTTTTTTAAGCTGCCCGATGTTGGTATAAACACTAAAACATTTTTTAACTGATATTTTCCAGAAATTCAAAAGATTCTGGTCAAACTTGCGAAGGAAAAAGATTGTGAAGTACTTGGGAAATGGAGAAAAGCATGTGTGCGGCATTTCTACTGGGCAGCTAAATCTACAGTACCTTACCTACTGTACCTTATCTGGAATTGGAGAAGTGAAATGGGCAAAGTCTTTTTTTAACCACATCATAAACCAACGCAAAAACTTTGCAAATAAAATTTACAACAAGTGCAGCCACAGTGACATTTTGAAACCTCGTGTTTGGTTAACTAAGGGTAATGTTAAATTCATGTTGAAAACACAAGACAGGGTAAAGTATTTCTAACCACCAGTATTAACATATATGTCTATAGGTTCTGTTGCATATGAAAAATTGGTGGAAGCACCAGAGGAGGTTGGACAGCAGGCCGCAAAGCATGATGGATATTGAGCGCTCAATTATGCGAACGCTCCATTTGACGTTTTGACTGTCGTGATGTGAAGAGCTCTGCGAGTATAGGAAAAATGGATGCTTTCGAAAGACAGGATTTTCAAGCTGCGATAGTGCAAAATACTATGATGTATATGTATTGTTGCGATCCGCATTACGACTTATCTTTTACTGTACCGAGTTACGTTTTTTAAGCTGCATGGGCTTTGCTGCCATTTCGCCTTTCATAATACTCCGTCTGAAAGAAGACTTTGTATTATACCAAACACCGAAGCACTGCTTTCGAAGTTGAATGGCCTTAAATCTCCTTGTGTCATCAACGTTAAAGCAAGTACTACATTTGAGGTTAGTATAAAGTACTTGTCAACACCTCATGTTTTAATATTTTTTATTAACTTTTAAGGCTTGATTTGTGTATTAAAATTTAACTGAAACTATTTTTTAGTTTGGTACTATCCTGATGAATTTATTCATTGTAAAGCGGAGAGAATGCTTTTAATTTGGGATTTTGATGTGGATCGTGTATTGACAGAAAATACGAGCGCTGTGGATGCGGTTACTCCTGATTTTGATGACATCGAAGAAACTCCGTTGCTTAATATCAACGCAGTAAGTTGCAATTGTTCAAACTTTTATCCCACTCAGAAAGTACGTCTACCTCCTTTAGATAACACATCTGAATCAGGGAGCTCTCAAGCCTCTCAAGAACCAAGTGAAAGTAACGAAAACGATTTTGGTCATGAAAGAACAGAAAATAGAGACATTGATGATCATCATTGGTTCTCTGATGAATCTGAAGGTATAGTTACTGTATAAAGTTTTGATAGTTCATTTCTGTTTACGAATGTTTTCTTTACACATGCTTTGTTATAAATGGTTTCATGCTTAAAGTAAAAATTAATCTCAGAGTCGTTCAATTCTATTTTTAGAAATTACTAGTGAGTTTTTATTTATAGACATAACAGTATTAGACGGGCATTTTTTTGTTTTGCTTTATAGAAAGAGATCTACTTGAGCATTTAGCTGAACTAGAAAATGCTGGAGAGGAGAATGGGGATGAACAAAGTAAAAGAAATGAAACTGTCAATGAGCAAATTAGTAATGAGGACAGTGAAGAAGATGAAAGTGAAGAAGTTGAAAGTGATGAGGAAGAAATCACTCATGCTCTACCATTCAAGTGCATTGGAGCTGCTCATGAACAAAGTTACCAACATCATCTCGAACAGGCATATCTTGCCCTTGAATATAATGAATCAGTAAATGTTCGACTAAGACCAGAGCCGGAGAATCCTCGGACCAAAATGCAATTGCTATTGATCTTCATTATGGAACTCAATGGGAAAATGTTGGATATATAGCTTCTGAACATTGCAAGTATTTACATCCACTATTGCAGCAGGAGATATACTAGACGTCTATGTTGAACACATCAAGTTTCGGGTTAACTTTTTAAAAATAGGATTTTATCCAAAAATCTGGATAAAGAGGCGTGGTGAATGGGAAGGTCAGATTGTAAGGGCTAGTATGAGTGTACGTTGACATATAATTTCATAAGAACCAGGTTTGCAAGTTGTGAATTTCTGCAATTATTTCCATTGGCTAACCTATGTAGATTTTTCCAGCATTTTTGCCATCAACTTGTTTTTAGTCTGGTTTCCATATGACAAATCAAGTTGTTGCATAATAACTAATAATGATAGATATTTTTCTTAATGGTTAACACAACACCCTGACAATGTTGTATGGAAACCAGGCTTTCTATTTTATATCCTCAAAACCTATTGTCTATAACCAAAGCACTTCACTGTCATGTGATATTTCATACAAACCCTTGCAATATTAAGAAAATTAGAAAAATATTCATACAATACATGGTATAAATATGTAAATCTGTTATTGATGAACAAATAAAAAACTAATCAAATTTTATGATGGTTATAAAATATTGTAAGTAAAATTGCCTTGACAAAACAGCCAAGATTTTGCATTTATACATATATTTACATGATGTTCAAAAAAGTAAAAACCTGCATACACACCCACCATTGTTATTGTTTCTATGCTAATAGCATTTACAATTCATGCAAACTTGAAGATCAATTGTACTAGATAAGGTGTTCATGCCTTTAGCTTTTCAATCAACCTAATATACATAAATATTGCCAGTTCTAACACACAATGGCTTAGTAATGCAGATCTTAACTCACACTAACTGTAAACATCAACAAGCATCTAAAGAACAGAACCAATATAAATGTCAGTTTATTTTACTGAAGAAGTGAAAACATATAATCACACAATATGTTTCATATTTATCAATTTTGTGAAGGTGGTGGTGGTGGTAAGCCTTCTGGTTGTTTGAAATGTGCTGATCTAACACTCAATTGACCACGTTGTGGGATTACAGCTCTGTTGGCAACAAATACTCCAGGGTCAGCTCGCCTAGAAATACAGACACGATCTAGACGTTCTTCCCCACTACTAGAGGGTATGTTAAAAGATTGCAAGCATCCATCATTGTATCTATCATTGGATCCAGTGTAATAGTAAAATGGCAGATCAGGATCACACTTCTTTGTATATTCACTGATAACTTTTGGAAAAGCATCATGAAAATCCTTCTCATCAAAAATCGGTCCCAGTAATCCATGTAAAAAAGCAAAGATGCCTTCAACATCATCTGTTGATCCTGCCCGTGGGTGTTCAGGAGGAAGCCCTTTTTCAATACCATATCGACGTCTAAACTCCTACAAAAAAACAGTGATGATCAAAATTACTAGGCTCCAAGATCGAAAAGCATCACCATAACAAAAACAAACAAACCTGACTCTCAATATTTGTTGTTAATGCAACCACAACTTCTCTGGTGAATCCACCAACTCCTCTGATCGGTCTAAAAGTTATAAACACATACATTAAATATGTCCATACAATATATGATCTGACATATGTACTGTACCTGTTAACATCCATTGTAGAGTAGTCCCTTAAATCCTTGTACCATGGCATCCAGTCTTCTAGCAGATAATCCAGCATGGCCAGGTTGTTTTTTGAACGTTCTGTTTCCGTTAGACCACGACCATCACTTGCCTTATGCCAGTTTGACACAATCTCTACAAATCTACCTTCACTCAAAAAACCGTTAGCTTTCAGCCACTTAGCTACAGCAGGTGACAGCAATTTTTCAGCGTCACCTACACTTTGCTTCCTCTTACCTGTTAATGCAGTATATGTCAAACCTGTATTAGGGTCATTCATTGCTTTCACAAATGCTTGGAGATCCACATTTGGGATGTGTCCTTTTCTTAAACTTCCAGCAATCCTCTTCAGCACATGGTTATGATCTTCACGTTCATGTTGAGGTTCTCCTGTTTTTTCACTTACCTCGGGCACATACAAATGATCGCAGAAGTTAATACCTTGCTCACAGTACATACTAACCTTCTTCTTGTATAGGTACATTGCCATTAAGGATTTAAGGCTATCAGATTTGGATTCAGTTTTACCTTTAACAGAAATAACAAAGTTTGTGAACCTAACATTCACTGCATTGCTATGTCAACAACAAAAAATATTAAGAAAAACAAGTGAATTCATCAATTCAACCTAGATTTCAATATGAAAATTCATTGTTATCACTGTAAAAACATTTCATACCTACAACCCAAGGGTGAGGATCATAAAAGAATGGAAACTGTTTCCTGCGAAGAATGCTGATAGCATGGGTAAATGAAACCTTTTGTTCACCATTCGTGTATTCAGCCAACCACTGAACATCTTCCAATGGGACAGCCTCATGACCCTTTACTGGTAATATTACTCCTTCTGGTATGTATAAAATACATGGAAGAAAAGAACAAATTAACATGGTAGTAATACATGTAGGCTAGAGGTAACATTTCATAGACAACATGCATTAATTAGTATGTACTTAGTACACAACCTTTTTTCACAGACTTGAAATACTTTTCAATCTCCTTGGAAGGTATTGCCCTTGCTTCATTCTTGGCATCCATAATCAGCTGAATGACTGAAACAGGTCTATCTTTTCCTTGTGTTCTCAACGAGTTGAATTCACCATCAGTAACAAAACCTTCAAAATATAAACAAGTACATATTAACGTAAATCAAACAATCCATTATTTAGATGAAATGGAAAATTATTCCTTAAAAATTTAATTCAACCTGTGCAAAAAACTATATAAAAAACTATTTACATAAATGCTGCTCAACATACCCACAGTTGTCATGCCAATATCCTCCATAGCAGTTTTTAACTCTTCTTTAAGGTCTCTGGCATTCTTGTCAGTAAGGCTGGTGTACTTAAGAACACGAACAGGAATAGCATATGGTTTGAAATTTCTCAATTCGTCACTTACCATGAATATCAGTATGTGAGATGCCGCTACTCGTGTCTTTGAAGTAATTCCTTAACATCAAATATAACTATATCTGAATGGTAACTAAAGCCAATGAACTCGTTTTTATGAAACTTTCCAACTGACAACAACAGTAGAGTCACATAAACATACTGGTACAGTCTAAATCAACAAAAAGCTGCATGTGCACACTGATAATACCTTTAACATATTCCTGTAATTCTTCACGCATACTGGTCAAAGTTGCTCCAATGTTCAATGAATGATTGTCACCACTGTCTATAATGCTGATGATGTTTTTTAGTGACTGAAAGATGGACACATTTTTCTCAAATAACTTACTATATTCCTCTACTTTCCATGCACATGCAAACAATGCTTTCTCTGTAGTGTTGGCTATCTCCAATATTTTCTTGTACTCCTTTTTAGCATCTTCGTGACCAGAGCTTAGGAACTCCTTCTCTGTGGATAGTTTAGAACACATCTCTTCAAGGTCTTTTTTTATGTCATCAGGTGAAGTCCTTTTGTTTAACCCAATATTGCGGACAAACTCAAGGTATTTTATATACTTAGAATGCTTAAGTTTTAACTCACCATCTCCAAGATCAACGTCACCTGACCATTCATTCCTCATGGATTCCCTGAGTCCTTCTTGGATATCAGTGCCATCAGCTTTTAACCACCACCTTCCCCCAGGATGGCCTTCTTGAAGAAACTTCAATGCAGATGCCTGTGAAATTTCAAAATTAGTTAATTTTACATTTACAATTTACAGGTGTATCTAATTTATATACAGTAAAATTCATCCGCACAATATATCATTATGCACCTGAATGTCAGTGCCTTTGCTAAAGTCGCAATCCTTGTTCATCCTTCGAATTGTCCTGGCAGCAGGTCCAGCTATATTGATCTTGGCCTACAAATACAATATATAAAAATATTACAAAACTGTCTTAGTCACTGTAACTAACTCATTGTTCATACTTTTATGTTACCATAAGATCATCAAAATCAAAGTTGTCATTACCTCTAGTGGATCACCTTTTATGGTTCTACCAGACTTAGGTACATCAGTTGTATCTTTTACTTTCTCCAGTGCTGATAATGGGTTTTCCATACTTACCATTGGTGATTGTGTGTTGGATCCAAATGCTTCTTGCCATGCTTGGCTAATAATATCTAAACTTAATGAAGAATCATTAGTAACAGGTACATGCTCTCTCCCAATCTCATAGGACCACATTGGTCCTAGGTGCATTGATGCCCACTTGTTTCCAAACAAGGTATACATTGACTGACACCAGGATTTATAGTCATCGGAAGCTTGAAGATTGGAAACATTGTCTGATCCAAAAAATTTCAAATTGTGCGCAATTAAACCAAATGGCATTCTATCCAATGGCATCCTTGAACCTTCACCCCCTTTGCCAATCTCTCCAAAGCAACGAGCAGCATAGTAAATAAGATTGTCTTTCTTCTCTGCATGAAGCACTGACATTGCCTTGGCCACAAGCCCTAAAAAGTTATGAGGCAGAAATTTAGCATCAAAAACAACTCCCTTATTAATGTCATTTACCGTCCACAATCGAAATAGGTAATTGAGTAGTTGTTCCCGTTGACGACATGACAGCCTCATAAAGCCAGATGAGATCACATCAAGAATACAACCTGGAAGTTTAGTAGCATCACTATCACGTAAGGAAGAAAAACCTAGCAATGGAGATCTTGCAGATGCATATGTAGTTTGCCCAGAGATACCAAGGGGAGTAGATGGGGTCTTTTGGTCAGCATGATTGGAATCCTTTTCACCAAAATAGCAAATTCCATAAGCTTCTTCAGCATCAGCAATTGTTTTGAACTTTTCCTTCAAGAATCGCCGAACAATACTTCTACATGCAAGTCCTTATAATTGCAAAAAGGGATAGGGATATCATTGCAATACATTAAATAATGTCTCTTACTATTCATATGTATGAAAAATTAGGAACAAACAAATGACAAAGTGGCAGTGATTTCCTGGACAACTAATTTAAAGGAGGTAAATAGTCTAAAATGATCCTTTACCAGTTCGCTCCTTGCCAATGTTAACACAGTTGACACCATTAGCACATTCCCCCCAAAATTCTTCATCCTTAAAAAGTGGCCATTCACAAGTGGAATCTTCATCAGGAGAATAGTAAAGGGCAATATACTCAACCAATGCTGACAATTCTTCTTCACTCCATGTTGTATTAATCTATGTAGTATTAGCAAAGGTCCATACATAAATAGCTTGTGTCAACAGACTTTCATATTTACAATCCAAAAGAGTCCTACATTATTATGCGAGTAAAGATATTTCCAGCTGTTACCTTTGTATTTTTTTCCGCTGCCCTGTTCTCTAATTCACCTGTAGCTGATTGAAACAGGGATCTCTTCAAAAACTTTCCAGATGTAGATCTCAGTTTTGGTTGCCTTTTTCCAGGGGTTTGCCCAGTTGGAGGATCGTGTACCCTTTTTTGGGCCTCAGCCATACTGACCTACACAAAAGAGAAAAATATTCTATTGAACCCCGAAATTGCGCTATGTGCACTTACCGAAACGCTAGGCGTTAGCGAATGAGCATAGGAGTCGTCACTGCCAAAAATGGAAATCTATATAAAATACAAAAAAATTCTATTTTCCCGTCTAAATGTTAATAACTAAGGAAGTTAAACCATGAATACAAATAAAATTTACATTAATATTACAAATTATGTAGTTAAACAATATTTGAAAGGGAAATATCCCATTGACCCGAAATGCGCTATTTTGAACATCTCAAAACAAGAGTGGTAAATTCAAAGCCCGATATCTCGGAAATGGTGTGGGGTCGCAAGGGGTCGATCCAGCCGATTTTTTTTTTACATACTTAACTTCATTCTTACAAAGAATCTCAAAAATCGAACCACAGGAATTCGAGATTTTCAACTTTGAAAATTGTAAACAGACAAGCACATGACTCATCACTTCGGAACGACTCGACCAACTTCAGTTATAAAAATCGACTTAAAAAGTAACGCTTACCTCGATAATCTCGACAGATATCGCCAGTCCAATGAATCTTTTTTCAAAAAATATGCGTTTTAATCAGTAAACTTTAAAAAATATACTCAATATTTTTATGTTTCTCCGTCTTATGTAAATTTTCTCGCTCAAAATCTTCGCAAGCACGCTTGGAAAATAGCGCAATCTCATTGGTTGAGAAATTCACGTGACAGCTGTCCAACCTTCTCTGTGGAAGCACTTACTAAGAAAAGGCTAGTAAAGGCTGTTAAACAGGCATCATCTGTGGCCTAAACCAGCTGCTTGGAAGGATACCACTCAGTTGTTAATCAGTTTGCCCAAAAATGACCCATTACTCATACACTGGAATGCTTTGCAGGTAGATTACATATAGCAAATTGCTAACAGAAGAAAGCAGGTGATTAGGTTAATTGCCAATCAGACAATGAAACTATTTTGTGTCTTACAGTCCCATTTTAGAAGCGGTGCATTTCAACTTCAATTTACGCAGAGAAAATAAAACAAATAACGATGGACAAGCACCTCTTCGGGTTGTTTATGCAAAATACGAGGAGGGAGAGGTGACTGTTCGGAATGTTCGAGTGAAGCAAGACTTTGTAAGTTTGTTAAAGTCATAAAAAATTGCTTACTCGAATAAGATTAATGCAACGAAGATTACACCAGATGTATTGTCAGTTCATTTGTAGTGCGATGTGGCTGTTCCTAATTGAGTTCCTTTCCTTAAACACTTCTTTAGCATATATTGAGCAAATTTATGAAACCATGACAAGTACTCCAAGAAAAGAACTGGAAAAATTGGAAAAGGAATTAAGGACTCCACAACCATTTCATTCACTGCTAGAAAACAAACAAGATAAAAAAAAGCCATTGACATTTACGTGTCTCGAAAACGTAAAATTAACACAGACTGTCCACCTACATGCTCAGGTAAAATTAGTTGCATTTTTTTAATCATTCAGTAAATAAAATAACTCAAAAATTATTTTTAGATCAAGAACTGCAGGCTTTGTTGAACAAAAAGTCTAAAGGACAGGCTGCAAGAAAACCACCAACATGCAAGACTTGTGGAAACCCAATGAAAGGTCACAAGAAGGTGGATTGTCGTGTAAATAGTTTGTATGTCTTCATCATCTTCAAGGCCGGTGTAGTCGCGGTCATCTGTGTTGGGAAATGTCGAGTGTATCCTTTTGTAGGAGCAACACGGTAGTGGGATGTGTCGTGAGCTGCAAGTGAAATCCCACACCAAACGCACCAGTTGCCTGTATGACACCGCTCGTAAGAACCTGCAAAGATATACATATATAAATTGTCAGCAAATATTTACAGGACCGAAAAGTGTGGTTTACATTTAACGTTTAAAACTTACTCCGCTCTTGTCTTTTGACCTTCTCGAAACACAGAATTATAATTCCTGTGCCCTTTTGTCTTTAATCCCAACGACGCAATTTCCAAAACCCATGCATTTAGACACACGTTGTTAAAACCCGGGTGATCAACAATGAATTTTTGATGGCCTTCGTCTTCATGCTCATACAACTTATCCCTGCACTGACTTATTTCCATAAAAAAGCGACACTCTTCAGGATTCACAATCATGCCGAGGGAACAATTGCCACATTCGCACCTTGCAAACCAGAAAAGGCTTAAATAATGTTTGTTCTGCTGTATATAATTATAACAATTATACATACACTTGCCAAGAAGTGACGTCCACTTGTGCCTCAAAACGTATTCGCAACATATTTTCCAATTGCAGTTCTTCGTACTCAGCTACTTCCTCGGGTGACGCAAGTGGCTCAACACTGTCGTCAAACGGCGCAAAAACGTCAGCGTTCGAATCGCGCGATAGCCCCGAGTTGGCTGTCGAATAAACCGATGATTCTACAGAAGAATCTGACTCGGTCAAAGACGCCGAAACGCTGTTAGATTTGGATGAAATTGACATTTTATATCGTGTATGCCGCACTATACTGGTATAAATACTGCTTTGCTTCCTATAATATTCCCAGTGTGTTATTGTGGAGTGTTGAGACTGTGACGTCACGAGCCATCTCAAAAAGATGAAATAAAGATGGCGGATTTTAATGGCGGATGATGATTTTGGACATTTCCAACACTTATACTGGAGCGGATACTGCTCCATTTCGACTGAAATTTTAAATAAGGGCTATTTTTACAATGGTAAAATCATGTCTAAAAAAATTTACACTTTTTATCACCGATTTTCGTCACAGTGGCGTTTTAAAGAATAAATAGATTTAGTAAAAGGCATACCAAAAAGTTATCTATCTTATGTTTTTCCTGTGTTGTTGTGTCAGTGCGTTATGCCAGAAAAAACATTTGTAAAATTAAATTATGTGATAAAGTAAATGCGTTAGAGTGCGGTTTCCGAACCGGGATTATAAGTACATATAATGGCCGAACTAGTTTATATAGAGTATTGATTGTTGAGTATAGCGTTGTTGAAATCGTTGTAAAATATTAATTGAAAAACCAACGTGTTAGTTGTGAATCAGCGTGTGCAGACAAATTCACTGAACGAATACAATGAATTCTGCGACAACAATGTGTTGTTTTTTTTTACTTACATCGCGTGGTTACAATGACCAGATATATGTTGAATAACTAAAGTATAGACTGGAATTTTTTATCAACCTCTTTAATTAATCAAAGTAAATTGGATGCATTACATTCAACAACTTTTTTCTATTCTAGAGACGAATCCGGTTTCATTTTCCACCTCAGAACGGGCTGAAAAGCAAAACGTTTGCGTTGATATTCTGTTGAAAGAACTAGTGAAACATGCCATAAAAAAGAATTACAATGGACAATAGTATACGTACCAACAGCATTTGTTTCCCGGTGTGCAAAAAAAGTTACAACCATATTCGTTTGGGTTGCAATCTCGATCAAACGGAACACATCGACCAGCAACATCACCACAAATAGGATCATTCGCTTTATCTACGTGATGAAAACATGAATAGTGATGAAAATGAGATGAATAAAAGTCTAAAAATGGGAATGAAGAAATTTTTGGTTTTACCTCAGGTAAGCGAATTTTTTATCCCCACTTTAAAAATTCTAACGTATATAATTATTATATACTTGAGTTATGACCCTCATTCATATAGCTACAAAAATACCTTCGGCAAATTTACGGCCATCAACGTCAGAAAATGCCACAAAAAGTATCAACAAAAGACAAACATTCAGACGAAAATCCATTTTTGGAAAGGAATATAATTATCTAGAAAATAACAATTAAAACATATATTAGATAAAAAACATCAATAAAGGAGAACTGGTTCATTTAAAAATACGTCATACATCTGCTGATTTATTTATCGTAACCTATATAACATTGATTATATTACAGCCGTTTTTTGAAAAGAGAGAACTATAAGGCAGGTTTTATCTTTTTCATGCATAATCTGGCACATATAAGCTTAGTACCTGGTGCATCACCCGTCTGATTTACTAAAAAGACAATGTTGAACACGGATACAATTAAGGCAGGTTGCCTAAAATGTGTCTCCCATGGCTTTGAATATCGCCCTTTGTTAACCGAAAGGCGCATTTTTAATTACTATATATACTATAACGAGATAAAACCATTAAAACCTATGACTTTCGAAGTATAGAGTGAAGGTTTACGCGGGTCGTAAACAATTGATTTATTAAGAACTGCAAACAAAAAACATGCAGGTTTGTAGAATTACAGCGTCAGCCTTACGACGAATTACACAAGTCACAGGAAATTTCCCGCTGTTCCATCGTATTTAAATTTAACTTTTTGCTTTAAATTCCTTTATTATCTTTGGCCTGCGATTCAGCTTTGATCAGTATTAAAAACTCCAAACATTATATAAGACATAAATTTAAGGAAATTTATAGATCGTTGTGGTTTACCTTAATTTGTAGAAATTGTTAACGTGGTTTGTTTTTGAATATCTGCCATACAGACTTGTACATATAGAGGTAAGTGATCACAGATTACTGTGTGTGTAAGTAGCTCTAAGCTCTTTAAAATAATTTCAAACTAAAATTGTGGAATAGTTACATTGAATAGTTGGATCCCTTTGACTTTCAAATAAAAAGCAATTAATCCAGTTTTACCTTCCCAGTATAATCGTTCATGTGCAATTCAAAATTTTGTATAGAAATTGTATGATGGTAAAAACTTGCAGTAAATAATTTAATTTATATCAATTCACCAAGTCAGAACCTTGAAATCAAAGTATAACTAAGCATTCAAACACAAGATTAAGCTTACCTCAGTTTGCAGTCTGCCAACAGTAAAGATTTCAAAACTCGGAGAAACTTTAGTTCGCCAATGACTTAGGGTTGTATGGACCCGAGTATATATGCTATTCGTTTGTCAAAAATGACAAAAATTGTGCAGTTTGACATTTCCGAAAAGGATATAGCTATAAGTATTTTCATCGTTGTGTCGGATGTGAGTGTCTCGACTGTGAATTAACAATATCGATCTGTAACGTTCTTTCTGATGGCGGCCTGGTTGTCGAACATCTACTTTCGGATATGTGTGTCTCGGTTGTAAATTAACAATATCGATCAGTAACGTCCTTTCTGATGGGAACCGTATTTGTCTAAGTACTACGAAAGGCTCTCGACTTTCTCGATTGTAAAAATATGCAAGTAAGTCTGATAGTTCTGCCGGTTTTCCACCGGGCTGAATTTTTCTATCGAACAAAATTTTTTGCTTGATTTCAAATGCGACCGGTGAAAGGGAATCCGCTACGGTTGACTTCTCACAATTGAAAAGAATATTGGAACAAAATTTCGTTTGGTCAAAAAATCCGTGGAAAACCGGCCCAACCTTAAAGATGATGTAAAGTCCGTTCTGAGCATATATTCTGCGCATAACAATGTTTGTTTACGTTGTTTATATAATCTTTACATGACGTATGCGTCGTTATAATTTTCTTATTTTCTTCTCGCTCGACCGGCTGTGATCTGTGACAAATATGCTTATTTTATATTATATTTTGAAGAAAATATTGTTATATTTTGAAGAAAATATAAAGCGAAGCTTGTAAATAAACAGGCCGTTATTTAAAACGTTATATTTTTGTAATTGTAGGACAAGCGAGAAGGTAGCGTCTGTAGCGACGACAAATAGCCTCGCCATTTCGGGCCTCATTTAACAAATAAATTCTTGGAGCATTCCTTTCAGCATAATATTGCTTCTCTCTAGCAGCCTTATGATAAGATAAGTTCTCGTCGTGACTCACAATTCGAGCCTCTTCGCCTTGCGACATAAAATAAAATAATTGTGCTCCCGAACTGCCGTTTGTAATACAACGCGCTAATATCGCATATCATTAACATTCCAAAAGTTTCTCCCCCACTGATGGAATGTGTTGCTGCGCGGAATATATGCGCAGAACGGACTTTACCTCATCTTTAAAAGTGATAGTCTAAGCTGGTTTTTCACTAGGCGGAATTTTTCAACGAAACGAAATTTTTCGCTCGAGTTTCTTTTCAATTGCGAAAATTCGACCGTGGCGGACCCATTCAAATTTATTTTGCAGCGAGTATCGATCAGTAACGTTCATTCCGATGGCGGCCATATTGTCGAAGATCGACGACTTTGTCGGATGTGGGTGTCTCGGTTGTAAATTAACAATATCGATCAGTAACGTCCTTTCTGATGGGATTTCAATTGCGAAAATTCGACCGTGGCGGACCCATTCAAATTTATTTTGCAGCACAATAATGTTCAACCTATTGAAACCCTACAGAGTATTGTAGGCCTAGGTTCCTAATAACCTGTACTTGGCGCGGATAACTATACTTATTACCTGCATAGTTAGAATATATTCATTACGACGATCAGATAAGTTATGTGAGACTTTGATATGTTAAGACTGTACATTTGCATAGATATATATATATATATATATATATATATATATATATATATATATATATATATATATATATATATATATATATATATATATATATATATATATTTATATGCGTGATGTTACAAATATAAACTCTCCAGGGCAAAATCTGCCACTGGGTTGGGAAAACAAAGTCAAAGTAATATTTTTTAAAACGGATTAATATGCGTGATGTTACAAATATGCAATACTGCTAATATTTCGGGTTTTTTCCTTTGCCCCTTTATATATACGCCTTATCATATAGTATATAACTAGAAGCAAGAGCTGGGAATCTCTATTCCCATCCCAGTGAGCACAACGACGTCGATTCAACGTTGAATCGACGTCACCCAGCGACGTCGAAACGACGTCGAAAAAGGTTCGAAAACGCAAATCGAATCGACGTCGATTATTCGACGTCGAGACGACGTCGGGTAATCGACGTCGAATCGACGTCTGCAATTTATGAAATTTCAACGTCGAAACGACATCGAAAATGATTTGAAAACGCAAATCGAATCGACGTTAGATTATTGCCTTAAAAACAACGTCCTTGCATAAGATTTTAGCTAGATTTTGAAATGCATATAAAAAACATACTTGCACTGACTCTATAGTTCAAACAAATTTTATTCAATTTACACCACCTTGCTTAAATCTACAATATACTTGATTTGAAATTAAGAAATCAGATTCGAAAAATTGTCTGGCATTCCTTCATCTCAGATTATGTTTTCTTAAAATCTCGCCTCAAATAGTGCGAGAAGAGTCTCTGAGTATTGTAAAATAAAAAGTAAGTTTTTGGACACTATAGACCACTATGGAATTGGATATTATGTTCAAGTATGTTATCTTTCCCTTCATTCTGAACAATCTTTTCATCATCATTATACACGCAGCAGCAGGAGGGGCATTTACTTGTGATGACAATTTGCGACTTGCGACTTGCTTGGCCAACCTTAAAAGTTGAGATGATATTGTTTACTACATATGTGAACCCTATGTGTGCGCTTACCCCATATATTTGTTATAGGTCTGTGCTAGGCCGTTCGCTAGTTATTTACTATTAGGCTTAAAGCTTAATGATGTAGCACGTCGACACTTCAGTTGAGAAAGGTAACCGGTAAAGGGAGCAGCATAATAAAAATAAGTTTATAACATACGGAACCATAAATTGGGTCTAAATCATCAAAACTAAGTAGCGGATTGAATTGGATTATAAATGCAATTAGTTCTGGCGTCAAATATGGCGATCTTACTGTATATACAAAGTCATATTAGAATGAATAACCCGCGATCACACAACGTTGAAACATAAATTAACAAAATCTAATGAGCAAGTATCGTTATTTGTTTAGCTGAACCATTTTTAAAAGAGAATCAAAGAGTTTGGGCAATGTTTTAAACGTTTAAATTTCAAAATATAATCACGATGTCACGATCGCGTATTCATATCTCGCGATTCATGGCCTTTGTCATGGCAATACACACTGTAAAACTGACTCTCACTAACCTTTACTGCTTTCTTGGATTTATGCGGAAGATATCCAACCATTAAACTGAGAAAATCCTGTGAAAATATCCCGAAATATACAGCTACAATGTTTCATATTCCGTTCGCGACAACATGTTTCAATTTTCAAATGGACGCGCTCAATTCGACCTTCCCGAAATGCACTGCGCGCACTCTACCAACGATGCATGACCGATGTTGCTCCGGGGAGGCCCGAGGTATTTAATAAATAGTCTGTTACATAGAAATTAACTTCTTAAAATCGCAACATTCGTCCTAACTATCTATCACGAATGATATTATTACCATTGCGATCTTTGCAAGCTGGTCCTGTAAAGTTTTTATATAACGTCGAAACAACGTTGAATAAATGTCGCGAAAACGACGTCGAGAATAGGTTGATATATCGACGCTTTAACGACCTGACAAAAACACATCATTACACTACATATATGATGTTCACAACACTTTCCCAATATTGTTGTGAATTCATATACAATTTAAATGCGGCAAACGCAGCAAACTCTAGTTTTACCTGACGTCGAAACAACGTTGAAACAACGTCAGTTTGCGACGTGGATATGACGTCGTGAAATCGACGTCGAAACGAAGTCGATATTGGGTTGATCGACGTCGCGACCAAAATTCAACCATAAATCAACGTCGAAACGACGTCGTGTGCTCACTGGGATCATGTGGCATGTATAGACCCGAGTATAATTATATGTTATCCATTAGTCAAAACTATGAAAAAATCGTGCAGTTTCACACTTTCGAAAAGGATACACGTGTCCATTTCCATCAGATGTGAGTGTCTCAGCTGTATAAATTAGCAATATCGGTCAGTGGCGTTTTTCCGATGGCGGCCATATTGTCGAAAATCGACTTTGTCGGATATGAGTGTCTCGGTTGTAAATTAACAATATCGATCAGTAACGCGTTCATTTCGATGGCGGCCATATTGTCGAAGATCGACAACTTTGTCGGATGTGGGTGTCTCGGCTGTAAATTTACAATATCGATTAGTAACGTCCTTTCTGATGGCAACCGTATTTGTCTAAGTACTACGAAAAGCCATCGAGTTTCCCAATAAGTAAGTCTAATAGTACAGGGTGTTTCAAAAAAAAACGCAACCACTTAAATATGCAATTGAAAATGGCTCTTAATTAATCCTTCATTTAAAATGCTAAAAGTCATTTTAGCTGAACTGTGATGCAAACCCGACCAATATTATACAGGGTGTCCCAAAAAAAACGAAAACTATTGAAATCACTCATTGTTAAAATTTGAATGCCGTGTTCACGAATTTCAGCCCGTGAGGATTTAATGCAACTTATAAAATGCTAAATGCTTTGTGTTGCTAAAGAAAGGGGACACGTCGAAGGTCATGGTCCTTGAGATGCACATTTAAATATTGTTATCCATATTTGTAAATTGTAAATATTGTTAATAAATATAATTTTTGCGAACAAGCAAATTTTACTGCATCATATGCATGCATAAAAATTAGTATGGTAAACATTTATACACCTGTGGGTCCCAACAGAGTGCTTAGGCATTCAAACTCTAACAATTGTATTGTTATGGATGATTTCAATAGTTTTCGGTTTTTTTGGGACACCCTGTAGTATATTCTTGCATATTTAAGTAATAGTTTAATAATATATTCCGCCGGTTTTCCATACTAGGCGGAATTTTTCGATCGAAACGAAATCTTTCCCTCGATTTTCCTCTCAATTGTGACCGGTGAAGGGAATCTGCCACGGTCGAAGTCTCACAATTGACGCCTAATTATGGATTAGAATTATTGCGAAATACATGATGGCACACGCAAACTCGCTCGCGGACAACCACGCTGATATCCAAGACTGATGTAAAAATGCTTTGACAAAGATTGAAGAAAATACGGGAAAGCGCTATAGAACAGGTATATGCATGATCATTCCGCTCAAACATTGGTCATTTTTGCATGTTATACATGCAGCATGCAGATTCAATTAAAAGTACAAAGGTTATTCTTTGTCGGAAGTGCATGATAATGCATAAGAACGTTCAGATAAACACTTCAATGCATCTAAATCATTGCATGGCCTTGCATTATTGCAAAAATTATAGCTAATCATCAAAACTCAAAAATGTTTCATGCGGATCCTATTATCAGACAAACAAATGCAAAATACGTCCTAAAAAAATTATTCAAAATATTAGATGTCATAATTGCTACTTTCAATAAGTACCCGTCTACTTATTCTCCTTCAGGGAGATTTCAATCATTTTACAAGTGTACATATGTTCAATATTTGTTGCGTGATATATTAACAGAAGTTATCGCAATCCAAAAGGCATGGACTATAAAATTAATGTTCCTGCGTGATAATATATAGTATAGATATCCTCGAAATCTGAGGGCCAGCTACTGTTTATGTCAGAGTCAAACTAAATAATAACTCGATATAGATACATAATATATCGGCACCTCCATAATTATTATGGAGCCGAGTTAAGTGTTTTCATGGTGTATATGAACAAATAATTGCCTTGTGCAATTTGATCGAAAAATTTTCCGTTTAAATTCTGTTGAAATTAATGCCATATAAACAACTCGCGCAAATTGCTAAATGTCACTCATATTACTGAGACAAACCAAACGCGGCATGATACCATGAAATTGAAGGAAATCGACGATGGAACACTATAGCTCTGCGAAAAATTTAAAGTCAAGATAGCGGAATATGATATATACTATAGTAAAGGACATATATTCTGTTGTTATACAAGCGCAAATTAATGCCAGACGAAAGACCGACAAAAGCCGGACGCGATCCGCCAACTTGAGGCGTTTTTTCAGTTTTCAAAAACAGCTAACTTTGACTATGTTGTGATATTTTTGGTAATTACTGTTTGTGTGGGCCTGAAGAACTCCCATTAATAGCTAAACGTCACGGTTATGTTTTTTATCAGCCATACCAAATTATGCCGCTAACTAAAAATATTTTCCGTGAACAAGCTTATAAAATTTTCAAATATAGTTAATAAACAAGCTGACATGTAAATTAATATGAAATGCTTGCGCCGTGAAACACCCGTGTAATTTGAACGAATATTAGCTATGAAAATTGGCTGCTCTTTTCATATGCAGCTTTATTAGTGTACATGCAATGAGAAGACATTGTCGGAAATGTTAATGACGTGTGTACCCGCAAAGATTTGTGTTTCAGCACACGTAGGTGTTGGGAAATATGGCTAACGCAGTCAAGTAAAATATGGCGATAAAATGAGCGCCAGCACTTACTATAATCATAGTATATGGACGTTAAGGTAAAAAGGGAAAAAACGTCTATAAAAATAGGAACGGAATTGAAATTTTGTTCACCTAATCACCTTTTCAATAACATTCCCATTCATTTATATATTAGACTGTTTGTTCTCTACAGTGTTTGTATAAGTATTTCTTGTTTTGTTCATGAAGAAAATGTTCTTTAGCAAAAGGAATGGAACAATGACTCGATCACTTTTGCTGTTTTATTGAATTACTGAATATCTTATTACACATAATAACCTAATTAAGTAGATGTAACGTAATTATCCTCTGAGAGGAATTCCTTTATTATCTTATACTACAAGGTTTTCGATGAGCAAAGATATAGCATATGTACTTCCCACATGATGGGAATAAAGATTCTCTGTTCTTGCATGCTCCTAGTAATTCTCTGTTCTTGCTTCTAATTATGGATTATTATATGGGTTAATATATATATATATATATATATATATATATATATATATATATATATATATATATACATACATATAATCCATATAATTGTCCAAATATAATTATATACTTGTCCATATAATGATGTACTTTGATTATAGTGCTAGCGCTGAGTTCATCTAATAATATTTATTTGACTCCATTCGCTATATCTTTGCAGGAGCACACCTCATTAACATTTCCGACGATGTCATTTCATTGTACACTAATAGAGCTGCAGATCAAAAGAGCAGACAAGTTTCATACCCATGCAATATTAATTCGCTCACATTAGACGGGGTTTATAACGTACCGAATAACATTTTTAAAATTTCAAATTCATTTACACGTCAATTCAAACACAACAACTATTTGTAATTTATTTCAGTATTCATTTTATGAGCATGTGGACGGAATCTAAGAGTTTGAAACGGCGCCGATGTTTTTATGTAATTTATTAAATATTGATCCTGTTATCACAGGCAACAGCTTAATGACCACAAATCTCAATCACCCTTTTCAAGTATTAAAATATTGCAATGCAGGTCCAGCTTATTTGCAATGCTTTGTTTGTCTACGACGATCAATTGCAATTGGCAATAAAGTCGGCGAACGGAATAAAACTGCAGAACAGAACTGCATGTATAATATCAGGCATAATGTTTTCACTGTAATTAATTTTTCTGCGCAGATTAAATGGCTTTTCATAACAGGCATCGTACGATTTACTGTACCTGTAGTCAATTTCTTTTTCATTTCTATAATCATTGCGGCGATATACAACTCAATTGTTTTCTGTTCGCCGACCCTAAGACTGCATGATATCCAAAACAAAATATAAAAATACTTTGAGTAAAAGATGAAGAAAATTCGGAAATCCACACTGGGATATATAGGTATGATGTATCGTGCATTATAAAGGCGATTCTCCATTTAATTACGTCCGCTTTGCCCGCGCTGGGGAAGCGCGCTTTGTTTTTCAGACCCGTCACGGTTGCATGGACAGAATTTCAAAAGCCGCTTCGCCCAGGCGGGTGAAGCGAACGGTAATGGAGAATCGCCTTTAGTACTTCTACGGCGTTGTAGTGTTATAACCGTTCAGATAAACGCTTGCATGAACGTATCTATTGCCTAATAACTAATCACAATTCCGCTCGGAGTATTGCTCCCACTTAAACTGTAAAAGTTTATAACTTCATGCAACGTAATACAGGGCAGACAAGTGGGTGATTTCGTTCACCTTTATTACGACTGTGTTTGTTTGCGAAAAAAAATGTAACATCAGCTATTGATCAACATCACATTTAAGTCATTATTTTCAAAATATATAAACTTAGAAAGTTAGGTCTGGTTAGCTTAGGAGATCTTTGTTTGCAATAGGGAGCTCCGTGCATGCATGTTAATTAGCTCGATTAGGAGAGCTTCGTTTGAAATAGGGAGCGATTGCATGTACGTATTTGTAGTAGAATTTCATAGTGTATATGGACGATAAAGGTATAGTTAAAAAACAAATAATTGCAATTATTGTTTGTTTATTTTTGTATGTATTAATTGGTTACGGACTTTCAACTATTCTGCCCAGCTTATCGCCTTTAATAAAGTATTTCCATGTATGTCAAAGTATTTCTCTTCAATAGCGGATTTTTGCTATGTGACGATTTCTTACCTAAAGAAGAGTAGCGCACGGGGCTATATACTATATAAGAGATATTAGGTAGTTTACAATCTACGATGCGGTTAGCTGACGTCGCTATTCAATTATTTTGCTAGAAATTAATTATGCTGGCAGGACTTTGAAATAATCAAATATTTTCTAGCTATCATTGCAGTTCAATATAAGCTGTCAAAAAGCTATCACGTTGCCGCTGCATGCTTTCATGTCATCGAGAGGCCGTGAAAATGCCTCATTTGAAGGCGTCCTAAGAATGATAACGCTGTCTTGGGACCAAAAATTACGCATACCTATATTGTCTTGCGTGTGGTGTTTCGATTTTCAGATTTTTCTTCATCTCATTTTCATTATTATTCAGGCATGTTTTCATCAAGTAGATAAAACGAATCAACCAGGTGGTTCTGACGTTGGTGATCAAAGTGTCGCGCAACAGCGAGGTTCCTTGCCTCGGAGGCTGTTATTCGTGTCGCCTTTTTTGCCCAGACGGGAGAAAATGGTGTTGGTACGTATTTTCTATTGTAATGTTTTTTAATGTTTTCTTTTATGACACATTTCACTAGTTCTTTCAACAGAATATTAACGCAAACGTTTTCCTTTTCAGCCGGTTGTGAGCGCGAAATTTAAAACGAAATTGGTCTCTGGAATAGAAAGAAGTTGTTGAATCGTCACATAACAAAAATCAATTTTTGAACAGAAATACTGTGTCATATATGGGAATACTTTATTAAAGGTGATAAGTTGGACAGAATAGTTGACAAAAGATCAAGTCGTAACCAATATATAAATAAAGTAAAATATAATTAAATTATTACCTTTTAGCCCTACCCCTCCATGCAAATTCGATTGAATTCCAGATCACGGATGCACAAATGTTTCCATGCAGGTTATAGGCGTTGTAATAATACAGTACTGTCCAGAAATAACACTGCGGTTGCGGTTCGGTGGCAGTTCCGTTGCGGTTAGGTCGCGGTTCTGTTGCGGTCGACCGATAGAAACCGCAGACGACTGCAAGGAAAAAATACTTCACATGGTCGTTCGCTTCCGAGCAAAGTATTATGAACAGCTGAGAACGAAAACACAATAAGCAAAGCGAAAAAATGTTGAGAAATGTTTTTCAGACCGAGTTAGACTGAGGTTTAACCTCCGTCTCACCGCGGTTTGACCTCGGCGAGACCTCGGTTTAACAGCCGATTAGACCGAGGTTTGACCTAGCTTAACCGCGGGTTTTGTTAGCCGGTTATTTCTGGACAGTATACTGTGGGTATTATAGAAGGAGTGCCCCTATAAATGGATAAGAGACGAAAAATTCAGTAGAATGATGGAATTGTATAAGGCGTAGCCTATTATCACTAGAAATATACATTCTTATACCGCAAAGCAAATATTAATATACGGAAAGCATTGAAGTAAACACAACACTTATAAGCTTGCACATGAATTGTTTCTTATATACACCGCTTTTTCTTGAATGGTATCCATGTTATTCATAGCTATCTGGCATCCTTTATTTTGTTTCTTCATACATTTTTCACCAATAATTTATAAAACACTTTTACAAAAGAGTTTAGTGAAATGGCAGTTAAATTGCTGCCGTTCTCATTGACTGTAGAAACTTTCTGCCTTTCCACGGTCCATGACATAGAATTTTGACAACTTTGGATTCCGATATGTTCTGTCACAATGCCCGGGTGTAATTCCTAATCTCCGGGCGGAATTAGTTTCCTCGCACGGCGCTGGTAGCAGTGAGTTTAATAACAAAGTTTGATGGGTTATTACTATCGCCTTTTTTATGGATGAGTATTGTACGCGCCTTCTTCCATTCTGATGGTATGGTTTTGGACGACTAGAAATATAGAGCTGCAGATGAAAAGAGCAACCAATTTAGCTATAATATTCGTTCAAATTACACGGGTATTTCAACATGCGTGCATTACATATTAATTTTTACATGTCAGTATACATCAACTATTTAAAAATTTTATAAGCTTGTCGACGGAAAATACTTTTAGTTAGCGGAATATTTTGGTGACAAAAACGTTACGTTTAGCTATTAGTGGGAGTTCTTCGTCTGGCATTAATTTCTGGCTTCTTTAAACAACGATGTTTACCGACATAGCGTGGTGACGGACATATTCGTTAAATAACTCAAATAATTATATAGACTGGAAATTTTTATCAACCCCTTTATTTATCAAAGTAAATTGGAAGCATTACATTAAAATTAATATCCTGTTAATTGTACCATTCCAATCATATTTTCCACCCATGCTACTTACTTGCTTGGGCTGAAAAGGTAAACGTTTGCGTTAATATTATTGTCGAAAGAACCAGTGAAACATATCGTAAACATTAAAAAAGATTACAATAGATAATACGTACCAACAGCAATGATCAAGGATATTTGGACACGAATGCGGACACGAAATAGTGCCATAGGGGCAATGGGCAAGGTTGATCGATACAAATACCACCAAAGTCAAAACAATTAGGTTGATTCGCTTTATCTGCATGATGAAAACATGAATAGTAAAAAAAATGAGCTAAAGAAAAGTCAGAAAAATCTGAATGAAGATACTTTTAGTTCAATCTCTCAAGGGAATTTTTTTATCCCTGCCTAAAAAATTCTTACGCATGCTCTAACTATATGACATTTGCGGCTCCCCTAGCTAATACCCTTATGTTATGACCCCTCCTCCGTCATAGTTAAAAAAAGTACCTTCAACAAATTTACGGCCATCGACGTCAGAAAATAGGAGTGGAAGAAGTCTCGAAGAGGAAAAAGATAAGTCGCGTAGGGCTTAATGTCCTTCGCAATGATTAATTCAAGTCCAAACTCATTACATTGTTTATGAAAATGCAGGGAAAAAGTTCCTACTGCAGAGAAAATCCGTGAAATTTAATATTCACAGAAAACAGAGTTTTGAGTTTGGAAAAACATTTTACATCGCTGTAACGAAGGCGAAACTGTATTTTTGACTCACGGATATTCCGTAGGAATATCAGGAAGTCATTGCTAACGGTCTCGCATTTTTTAGTGCCATTAACTCGACCAACCTGCTTTGCGCGCTTAGTGTTAAAAACTTGTTTATCTGGTTATCAACAAGCCAGCAATTAATCGGCTATTCGTGCATCCGTGAGTCGTGTCATTGAAGCCTTTGATTTTAATTTTACGATGCTAGGAATCTCTTTGCCCCATCATGTGGTAGGACCTATCTAATCATATTATGTCCTTTGCTGATCAGAAACCATGTAGCGTGCATGAGGGCGCCCTAAATGGTCAGTCCGGTCATCTTTTGAATTCAAATAGAGTATTTCTTTGAAAAAATAACGGTTAAACTGCATTTTTCGTGCTAGGCTGATCAGGTGAATATTGATATATTTGAATGCAGATTTCTTAAAACACTTAAAAATAACAGTAATCTGTCTGTACTGAAACACAACAGGGCCGGTCTGGTCGTTTATACCGTATAAAAGAAAGAGCCCTAAGAAAACAAAGGAGTTTCTCTCGGAGGAGAATTTATCAGGAGATATTTAATTCAAAGACAACCAAAGTGATTGAGTCATTGCTGCATTCCTTTTGCTGAAGAACATTTACTTCATGAAAGTAAAAAAAACCTTCCGACGTAGTTGAAACGAAAGAGTCTGATAAATATACGTCCATATCTTATATGTATAGAAATAAACGCTAAATTGTTTTCTTTTTACCTTTATCGTCCATTAACTATCATTAACTGGCTAGCGCTGGTTTCATCTCTTACTTGACTGCGATCGCTATATCTTTCAATACCCGCGTGCACAAGGCTTTGCAGGTATACATGTCCTTAACATTTCCGACAATGTCGCTTCATTGTACCCTAATAGAGCTGCATATCACAAGAGCAGCCAATTTTCAGAGCCAATAATATTTTGCCAGTAATAATAGTAGCCCGTATTTATACATATCGAAAAGTATTTCATTTCAATTTAGACGCCAGTTCTTCAATTATTTAAAAATTATTAATTTTATAACGTTAACCTTGTTGACGGAATCTAAGATAGAAATCAAAACATTTTTGTACATTAAATATTGATCTTGTTTTCACCGGCGACGGCTTGATGACCACAAATTCCCATCACCGTACAAAAGCCATCTAATCTCATAAACTACAGTAGTTTCAATTAAAAAAACATAATTATTACAATTACTAGTTTATTTAACACGAAGAAACGAGGGCAGTGGGAAAGCCTCTCGGATCTCTCCCCTGCATAACTATCACTTTAGATGCACATGAATGATCAATCAAGTGGACAAGGATTATATCGACCACCTGGACTGGGTACATGTAAGACGTATGGGCAATGAATGTCGATAATGTGAAAAGGGTTCATCAACCATGTATAGAAAGGAGGGTGGGACACGTGTGAAATCTAACCCCTTCAGAACGGGTTTTGCATCATTGAACACTTGAAGAGAGCACGATGTGCTCGTTTGTTTATAACTTCCATTCGGGATAAAATAAGTTCTTTATGACAAATATATTTATGTTTTTGTGTTGGACATAGCAGTGTCTCTGCCTCAAAAAATATATATCTTTAAATTTAAAATGGCGTCATTGTTGCTATATAAGTGCGTAAACCTCTCTTCTTGCTGAGTACCACACGAGTCAGTATTTGCTAGTATAAAGAACGCTTTGCAGGCTCGCAACATTATGCCGCCGAAAGTGCACCAAGTTTTAGCAGTGTCCCCCCCCCCTTATGATCTAAGTTTGTGTTTGTCTGAAAATAGGATCCGCATGGAAACATTGAGTTGTTATTTTGTATAATTTTAGGCACAATGCAGTCTGAGCGTTCACATGTATTATCATATAAATTATTTCCTACAATGAATATAGCCATATTATAGTATCATTATATAATAGTAGCCGTTATGATTATATAGGCACAAAAACGTCATTTTATAATCTAACAAGTGTTTCTATAACTATATAGAAACACAGGAAAAATGTTTTCTATTTCTTTTATAATATAACTCAATAAAAAATTTTGTACAAATATTATAATTCGATTTAATTACAAATTCTCATTACATCGCTCCGCTTGTCAAGTTCGGCCTGTGATTCTATACAGTTTTAGTATACACCCGACTATTGTCTATTACAAATCCTACATTCTGATTGGCTACTCAACCATTGTCTATTCGTGATGGTGCACGCTTGGGAAAAATTCGCTCGCACGGCCGTATGAAATTGAATTAATTAAATTATTTTTCGGTGTAATTTTGCGGTGTATCGATTATTTCCTCGAAATTAATATATCTAGGTACAGGGTACATAATAAAACAATTAGACAACTCGTCTTCGTTGCCTATGAGCGGATAGTCAACCCAGGCTTCGCCTTCGTTGATTATTCGCTCATAGACAACTTGGACTTGTTGTCTAATTGTTGAATAGAAACACGTTTCTTGACGAATCAGCACGCGCGTACTATAAATGTTATAGATATAGTCGAGATTTCGATTGTGTATACGTCCAGGGAAGCCGAAGTACGTCAAGAATAGTTGCTGGTGCACGGCAGCAATCATTTATTTGTTATTTGATGCATAAAATTTCGACTTTTGTTGCTCACTCGTTTGTACGATTTTTATTACGCGCTCATTGTGAAGGATCTCAAAACTTAGTCGTTCGTCAGTTTCGATTCCGATCCTTCACAACTCGTGCATAAAAGTCGTATTCGCATGCACGCACCAACCATTAAGTAATCTCTATTTATTCTTTTGAATTGCCTAAGCTGAAATTTTTCTATAGTTTCAATTATACATAGACTGCACAATGATTCATAAACGCAGTGGCGTAGCCTGCCCGACAATTTACATCACATAAAATTTGTATAGCATGACTAAATCGTCCGGCTGGCTACGCTACTACATAAACGTAACCTTGTATACAAGCCTTAATATCTTTTGTTTCCTCCTGCTTTCTACTTTCCTTCAGCCACAGAGGTTGCATGACTGAGTCAATTTATAGAGTGTGCAGTGTGAAGCTGCCCCAAGTTAGACTGATTGCGTGCCTTCACAACATGCCTTTACTCCATTATGGCAGCTATGCCGGATAATATGAGTTGGTCTGAAACCAAAGAAGATGGCATAGTTATTATCACCCTACCTGAGAACAACACCAAAACTTCCCTCAAAAAAATTGATTATTTCGTTGGCAACAAAAATAGCAGGACAGAGTAAAAACGCATGCCCTGTGGAATTTGTGGGTGAATGGGTTGAGTGGGTTGAAGCAATCCAGTAATAGTTGTTTAACAAACTAAACCTGTTTTACAATCAGCTATGCACAATTTACCTAAAATAGACATGGGTTTTTAATCCCTCAGCATAAATGTCCTATATGACAGATAAGGTACGAAAATTCCTAGAAGTGTGAAGCTTTATATTTATTGCTTTGTATATTATAGGTATTAGTAAGAAGCAAGGCGCATTTAAGTGGTTGTGAAAATGTCAGTGAAGAAAATATGAACTCATTCGTTCAAAGTAGCTCAGAACTCGAGTTTCATGCAGGACGATCGCATGGCTGCTCAGTGTGAAATACAGTCTCGGTCAGCAGAAAAAGTGAACGATATGTAGTTGCAGCTTACGGGGTTGTTGAAAATGCTAAGGATGAATCAGAGAAGAGTCAGAAGATGGTTTCACATCATGCTACTGCTGTTGTAGCCTGCATGGTAGGCGGTCCCTAAATTCGGGAAAGGCGAAAGACCGCCAGGGCTCTCAATTTTGGGAAAATTTCCCCAAAACGGGGAAATTGCTAAATTTTTGGGAGCGATTTGGGGAATCACTTTTTTCCGGGAAATTTTTTCAAGTGTTGCTGAAAGTCGTGCGTCAGTCGTTTTTGCCTTGTTTTATGTTAAATATGATTATTTTCTCTAATTGGTCACATGTGGCCAATGATTGTTACGTGGGAAAATTTTGAGAAATTTTTGAGGAATTCATCAATTTTGTTGTGAAAGCCCTGAAGACCGCCTGCCGGGTTTGGCTATGTATTTTAAAAATCCCGTCCACCAGTGGACGGGAATTGATGATTGGCTGCGAGTCTGATACGCTGTCAGTCAAGAGTAAATATTTTTAATTGGTAACGGTCAAATTTGTAGGCGTCTGGTCTTGGCGGAGTTTATTGACGATTGCGTTCGCTCCGCTCTTCTAAAACTAAATAATTTTGCGCGAACTGATTCTTAAAGTGCTTATATCACTTCTGGGATCTTTACGGATTTAAATAGGGCTTGAAAAATTAGTTTATAAGTTCTACAACCTTTTTTGATATAATGAAATAGTTTCGAAAATACGTCGCTTGGGGGGACTGAGACTCAGGAATGATTTGCAAATACGCCGTCTTTTATAATGTAAACATGAAGAGTTTCACTGGCGATGTAGTTTGCGCTTTTCCAAAAAAAATGCGGGAACAGTGCGTTGTGTATGGCTGTAGCAACTGGGCTAGTTTTTTCAAAATATTTTACGTTATTGGAAGATCGAAGTAAAATTACAATTGATTATATTATGTTTCACAAGAACTCGGTTCCTGAGTCCCAGGCCCCTGGGAAGGACGGAAATTTAGGCAAATCGTCATGTTTAGATGTAAATATTTCCGAAACTATTTAACTATATCAAAAAGGGTTGTAGAACTCATAAACTAATTTTTCAAGCTCTATTCAAATCTGTAAAGATCCCACAAGTGATATAGGCACTTTAAACGCGAACTGATTCTTAAACGCGAGCAAGAGATAGCGTTAAAAATTTACTCATTGGGAAGCATGTTTTAGCCGTTCTACCTACTAGTAGCTACGATACCGTTCTACCTAATATAGTTATACTTTACGTGCAAGAAAATGTTGGCAAATATGAATATAAAAACTGAGCGTAGTAGCGTTTGATGTAGTTCTATCAAATACTTTGATAGAAACGTTTCAGAAGTCGCCAAGTCTCTACCACAATAATTTATATGTATACGATCGCGACTAATGCATACCTATTTACATTGGGAATTTCTATCAACTATTGGATATCAACTAAGCGCTAGAAAAATCTCCAATATTTTGGGAGATTTTGCGCTGTCACATGACCAGACTTAACCTGGTCTGCGAGGTTGCTTGTGACAAAGGTAAGCGCCTAAGATGGCCGCCACTCATAGACACTGGTGTCACATGTATTTTTTAACATTTTTAACTGTACCTTAAATCTATCTAAGTTGTTTAAATGACAAATCGTATACTAAGGTCGTGAAAATTTGGCTGGATAACAAAAGAAGCGGTAAATTAAGATACACAAGACATTTTTTACGCCAGAGCTTATTAATACAACAGTCGATATCGGTATGGAGAAAGCATGGTTATCAGGTTATAGTATCCAGAGAACATTCCATCTGCTTGGATATTTGTATTTGTATGGATGTTGAATCTAATCCAGGCCCACAGAATTAACATAACCCAGAACTAGAATGGCTAAGCGAGGCAGTCTGCACGCAGAAGTCTATTAAGTATACTATATAGAAGGGATTTACTTAGTTTCAGCGGATCAATGGCGCCAAATCCAGAAAGTCTCGTTATGAATATTTTAAAGCGACTTCAACTTTTCAGATATCGTGGATTACGAACAGGAAAGAGGCGCTATGAAGTATCGAATAGAAGGCAATCAATCACCGTACTAAATCGTGTTATATTAGGAGCAGAAAAACAGGTCGCTCTGTACTCAGAGGCATAACGTAACTCAATCACAGACTTTCTGTTCCTAAATTCCTTTTCAAAAATGTTTGCAGCTTAGCAAAAACTAAAAATCGAGTTAGAGCTGCAGTTGCTCTAGAGCTGGATATAAACAGGAATGATGTTGACATATGTATTGTATCTGAAACACGTCTCAAAGCAGAGATTCTTGATGCGGTGGTTTGTATACCTAATTATAAAATATTTAGGCGGGAAAGATCATTATCTTGGCAGAGATTTAAGAGTCAAGGGTGGAATAGCGATATATGTGAGAGAGAATTTAGATGTTGTTGATATTTACAGGTCGCAACTTTATGAGTTAATTTGTTTAACTTTGAGATTGCCTTCTGGGCATATGCTCTTAGTGTGCGGCGTTTATCATCCACCGAGACCATCATACCTCTCCAGTGACTTTATGCAATATCTGATAAACATAGTAGACAATGTTCTTGAAGAAAAACCTGGAGAATTTCAGAAATTATTAGCCAAAATAGAAGAACAATTTTTGTGTGCTCCTATTGGATCAGGCGAGTGGTGGAAAAATGTGGATTATATTTCACAACGTGGACGGATATCAGCTAATGTGAACCTCGACAAACAATTGCTTATGAAACTGAACGATTACTTTGCTAATTTGTGTCAAAACAACTCATATATGGAGCCAATTCCTTTGGTAATTTGTGAGGATGTGAATGTTCCTGAGATCTCGGAAACACAAGTGTGGAATAGTTTAAGGCGATTGAAGAAAACAGCTACTGGTCCAGACCTAATCCCATACTGGGTATGGAAGGAGCACGCCGAAATAATGACACCAATTATTCACAAAATCTGAAATCTATCTTTGAAATCTACACACGTAAAAATATCACATCTTGTAGCAAGTTGTTCACAAGCTTGTAACAAGATTTGTTCGCACTGCTTGTCCCAACCTGCTGACAAGATGGGGCAACTTGTTAACAAGTTGTAACAAACTTGTTGAATCAAAAAACTTGCTACAAGGCTGTTGCAACAAGTCTGGTACAAACATGATAAAACAATATTGCTACAATCCTTTTCTGTCAAGTTCGTAGCAATGTTGTTGTATCATAACTGATAAGACTTGTCAGAACAATCTTGTAACAAGTCTGACAGTGCCATCGGACTTGCTACAAGTTGTTAACAACTTGTCCCAAACTTGTTACAACAAATTGGAGCAAGCGATGCGAATAAATCTTGTCGCAAGCTTGTGAACAAACTTGCAACAACTCTGCTGCAGACTTGTTACAACTTGTGCGTTTTTACGCGGGTAGCTAGTGCTTGCCCTTATCGTGGAAAAGGGCAAATGTTAATCCGTTACCCAAAATACAAAATACTTACACAAGAAAGTTGTGAAAATGTAGTGCTGGTATGCAACATGAGATTTACAATTATTTGGATGATCCAAATTAAATTGCAAAGCCGTTAGTTTATTTACAATGGACATTAGGAAAGCATTCGACAGCTTGAGACACGACCTCCTCTCCTTAAACAGGCTTAAACGTTTATCGTTAAATCCATATATCATCAATTGGTATTTGAGTTTTTTAAAATCCGACAACAACGGGTTGTTTACAACAACTTCCACGGAGAATGGAGATTTGTTAACAAGGGCATAACTCAGGGAAGTGTGAGTGGACCGTATTTGTATAATGTTTTTATGAATGATTTGGAATTAGAACTGGATGGCAGGCCTGCACTCTTCAAATATGCGGATGATTCTAATATAATTATCCCTGTGTAGGAAAATAAAGAATGTCGAACAGATTTAGTTGGACAATTTTTCATTTGGTCTCAGGATAACAATATGAGTTGTAATCCAGTGAAATGTAAAGAACTGATTTTCCGAAAGAAAGGATTTAATTAAGTGATTCCACCTTTTTATAATATTCCGCAATCTACTGACCTTTCTGTTTTAGAAATGATATTTCAAAAAAATGGTAAATATTGTCTACATATAGCTAAAAGCTAAACTGCTCACGGCAAGCAGATGTTTGTATGTCATAAGATCCTTGCGTAAAGAAGGTGCTTGTCAGGAAGAAGTATATAAGCTGTTTAACAGCTTAGTTTTACCTATTCTTACCCATGGTCTGTTAGTATATGGTGCCCCAGATTCGGACATGACTGTTGTACAAACGTTTTTAGTTTAGATAGATGTTTTAAAAGATGTTATGTCTCTTATTATATAAATGTACATGATCTTTTAGAAGTTAATGATAAAAAACTTTATAATAAAGGTATTTCTGATGCTGAACATCCTCTCAAGAAGATTTTACCAAACAAAAAGAAAACTTCAGTGTTACAACCTTAGAAAGCAGAGGAGTATTCACTCAATGACTAATACAAATAAATTTAAAAATACTTTTGTAAATAGACTTATTTTTGGATATGATTCATAGATTTGAAATAGTTGTTAAGATATGTACCTTTTTATCTTAAGATGATTAAAAGATTGATTGATAGATTGATTGATTGATTTGGCGGCGCGCAAATTAAAATGAGTATCTTTTCCGTTTGACATCCTTACACGAAGTACTTCCAAAGTAGCCCGTGTTCATGTGTGTTCATTCCTCGTTTATTGCGATCTAAATTCTAAACTGGAATTTGGGAGAAAATAGTCTAAAAAATTGGTTCCTACTTTTGCGATTTTTCATTCCGTGATCTCTCCTTTTGGTAGAAAGAGCTCCTAGATCCGGATGAATGGATGTGTGATCCCGCACACGCCAATAGCAGTTGATTGTTGGCAAAGACGACTGGTGCATGCCAAAATATGTTTTCTAACTCACATGCACACAGACCATACTCAAGGGTTAACCTCATCTTGGGATCAGCCGATCTATTGCTCTGAAATCACTCGAAGTTTGGCGATAGAACACTTGAATATCAAGCCATGTTTTCTTATTTCAATTCCTGTTGGTCAAAGCACCATTATTCCTTTGGATGATGCAGGTAAAATTAGCTTGATATGCATGCACCTTTTGCAGAGAAACTGTAGTCCAGTAAATGCAATGCAGCGGTTTGCTAAGTGTACACACTTAAATGTTTTGTGGAAAAGTCAGGTGCTGTGGTCAGATTTTATGGGTGTATGTAGGTCCAAACATATGCACAGAGCTGGAGCTATTGTTCAGTGTATGGAGTTTTAAGAGGATGTTACCAACCAGGATTTAGGCAAATTCTTAATGATACAAAAGTTGTGTTTGGGTACTTCCCTAGCATGTGCAGTTGATAATTTTTGCTTACATCACCTGGGACCAGTCATATAAAGGCTAGTTAACTAGCTGACAGAAGTGGCCAATAAGAGTTGTGTAAAACAATAGAAACTCCATTTCAAAGATATAATTTTCGACATTTCAATTAAGCTATAGTCAGGTAGAGAATGAGGATAATATTACATATGTACAAGTATATATAGTGAAGTAATTTGATATGTTTAGCTGAATATTAATAAATATATAGAAGCTTTTGTTCCATGATTAAGAATAGGTATCTTTCTATTCATGGTAAGGGACTCGACTTTAATTTAGTTTAATTTAATTAATTTAAGCTTATAATTAAACATATCTAATTACTTCACGATATGTACTTGTACATATGTAATATCATCTTCATTCTTTTCCTGATGATGACTAGGACTTGGTCGAAACGTCGAAAATTATGTTTTTGGATATTTATGTTTACTTTACCGAGTTTCTATTGTTTTATATAAAATATTAAAATGAAATACTGAATGGTTCCCGTAAAGAGTTGTGTATTGTAAGAGTTTTATACAGTACAACCAGGCTCTGAAAAGTATGCTCATACCAGCTTGTTTCCCTCTCTTATTTTCAACTTTGTCACAGCTTCGTCTATGTATCACTCTATGTACCGGTACCCCAGAAGAAGAAGAGAACATAAGCCATAAGACTTTGACTATCATAACCAAGTAAACAAAACAGAACATGCTATTAATCTTAGAAAATACTTGAGAAACCTTGTGTCACTGATCAATTGGATTGCAATGATGCAGGCCAATATGCCCCTTCCATTTTTCACAATTCTTCATCTATCATCCAGCTTCGAATCCATGAAAAAATTAGCTGCTATTAATATTTAGATTTTTCTGTTCAAAAATACAAAAGGTCTTCTTTAGCTAGAATATGGCTATATATTAACAGAATATCATTTCCCATTGCCTTTTAGGCTACAGGAACTCTCTGAGACTCTTTGTTAGAAATATTGCCAGATTGTAATGTAGCACGTACCATACCATGAATTCATAAGTTCATTTTTCATGAATTGTGAAGATAAATAAGAGCAATATAAAACCTTGTGCAATATGACATAAAACAGAATTCTGGTTGTAAAGTTAGCTGGTGCCTGCTCCTCCTTCTGTGATCATAGTATGCTTGGTTTGATCTGTTTACCAAGATTAAAAATTTATGTACATACTACCAATTCAAGCCAGTCTTCTGAGGTCATTGTTAGGTTGTCACTAAAATTATTCAAATAATGTGAATAATTTGTCCTGTTACAAAATATGTGAGTCTGCTCAACCATCTGTGAAATAATTACAGTTTTAGGTTCCAATTTGAGACAGGTGTGTTATTGTTGTTGCCATTATAGCAGCTGATCTGCAATTATGCCAACTTGCATTGAATTAGTGTACCAATGGAGTTGAATTATTGCTTTAGAGAAATCAATTAATCCTATATTCTCAATTCTTTAAAATATATCTCAATAGAGATAAGATATAGATTTTTGCCATGATGAGAAGCAATACATATTTTTTTCACTCTCTGGTGATAGTTAGGTGTTATTTCATTGACTGGTGCCTGCTTATATTATTTCCTTAAGTAGTGACTCGTTATTATTTTGTTGAATATCTAGTGACTGGTTATTACATTGACTAGTGCGTGGTTATCATTTCATTGTCTAGTGATTGGTTATTATTTTGTTGGTTGGTTACTGGTTATTATATCATTGACTAGTGACTGGTTATTATTTTATGCACTAGTGACTGGTTGTTATTTCATTTACTTGTGACTACTGTAATTACTATTTCATTTACTAGTTACTGGTTATTACATATTTCATTTAATTGTGACTACTATAAAAACTATTTCATTAATTAGTGACTAATTACTATTTTGTTGACTATGGACTAGTTGTTTTTTCATTAGGCTAGTGACTGGATATTATTTTGTTGACTAGTGACTTGTTATTTCATTGACTAGTGACTGGTTATTATTTCATTTACTAGTAACTGGTTATTATTTCATGGACTAGTGACTGGTTATTATTTCATTGACTAGTGACTGGTTATTATTTCATTGACTTGTGCATGCAGACTACTGTAATTACTATTTCATTGACTAATGACTTGTTATTATTTCATTGACTAGTGACTGGTTATTATTTCATTGACTAGTGACTGGTTATTATTTCATTGACTAGTGACTGGTTATTATTTCATTTACTAGTGACTGGTTATTGTTTCATTTACTAGTGACTGGTTATTATTTCATTTACTAGTGACTGGTTATTATTTCATTTACTAGTGACTGGTTATTATTTCATTGACTTGTGCATGACTACTGTAATTACTATTTCATTGACTAATGACTTGTTATTATTTCATTCACAAGTGACTGGTTATGATTAATATTTATTCACTATTGCGTGGTCATTATTCATTAATTAGTGACAGGTTATTGTTTCATTAGGCTAGTGACTGGTAATTATTTCATCAAATCTGGCTCAGCACCTGCCTAAAATATTCAGTTGATAAACTCTATTTGATGGTAATGAAAACTCCAAGCTGCCCCTGATATAAATAGATAATATGTAGCTAGGTCTCATAAGTAATTTACATTTTCTATCTTTTTAGGGGTTGAAACGATGACGGTCACCTTGATCGATGCTAATCACTGTGCCGGCGCTGTGATGTTGTTGTTTCAAGGTTATTTTGGTTGCATTCTTCATACGGGTGACTTTCGATACTTCAACGGAATGCTTGACGTTCCTCCATTCACGAAGAACATCGTCATCAACACGTTGTACTTAGATAACACATACTGCGATCCACGTTGCGAGTTTCCTTCACGAGCTGAAGCAATCAAAAAAATTTTAAATATAATACATGACAACCGTGGCAAGGAAGTGAGAATTGGTCTCGATAAACTCGGAAAGGAAGAGCTTCTTTTTGAAATCGCCAAGGACCAAGGTGTTCCAATTTTTGTTGAGGAAAAGTTGCGTCTCGAAGTGGCCGAGTTGCTTGGTCATAGCGGGTTTTTCACAAGAAGTCAAGAGGACACGTATATTAAGGTGTTCAGTAGGCGTTCTGTGAACAGACGTGCGCTGATGGATTTGAATAGGAATGTTCGTCCAACCATAGGCATATTGCCAAGCGCTTTATACATAGGCAGAACAAACCCATTTGAAGAAAGCGATGAGATTTTCGTTGTGCCGTACTCAGACCATTCGTCGTTCTCTGAGCTGAAAGCGTTCGTGGCTAAGTTGCGACCTGAACGTATCATTCCGGTTGTTCGTAAGAGCGGCCGAAAGGACGAAGACTTGCCCGACCGTTCGGACATGACCATATTTGCGAATGAAATGTCAAGTAATGCAGGGCCCCACATTTTTGACATACCTCCAACGGTTCGAGAATTCATGTCGGGAAGTTCCAATAACCGCAACACACCTTCTCTAAAGCGTAAGGCCTCCATCAGCTACTTTAACAGCAGATCTAAACGACCGTGTGGTATTGTATTTTCTCCTGAAAAGCAAACGGCAGCTTGCGTGGAAACAGATAAAGTGGCAGTCCAAGAAGAAGCAAATACCTCTAACCAGCCGCACGAAGGTACAGTAACACAAATTTAACGATTCTACATAGCGTATAAAGAACGCAACACTAAATATTCATGATATTTGCATACGTTTTTTGGTAAAGGGCCCTTTTCTTTATACGATACTTCGTCATAATTACAGTAGCCTTTCCCACAATGAGCGTGAGATCTCGTAACGACGAGTTTCTTTATTGTTAGGCTGAATTTATTCTTCAAATGGTTTTTTGATTCAAAAAAAAATGCTTTTCATGTTGTTATATATATTTTTAAACCTATTTAAGAAAATTGAAAGTACTCCAATAACGTCATCGTGGGAAAGGCTAATTCTTTGTAATTTGTTGTACACTGCAATTCGGTGACATATGGAAACGCGAAGCTTTAAATGGGCACAAAACATGGGCCACGTACGTCCTTCGAGATTGCAGCCGTTCATCTCTAAGTACAGTTCTGCTGCAATTCACGGGTGTAATACTTAGTACGACTGCTGTAGAATTCCATGTGGCCAACGATTTTTTGACTTTTGTGATCGATGCCAAAGCGAATATCATGAATATTATTAACACTGTTATTGACAAAAATATAACGCATGAAATTTTACATAGTGGTAAAAAGCATTCAAATTAATACCAAACTATTGCGGGAACCAATGAGCATTTTCATCAAATACACAACAACGGTAACTCCGAATGAGGACATGTTGATTCAACGTTTCGACTTTATTTAGTCATCATCATATATATATATATATATATATATATATATATATTGTACTTCGTAAGATATACAGATCTTTTGTTATTTAATCTCTACTAGTAGAAAACCAATAGTTCTCGGGATGCTTTCATGCCATGGTTCATTTCCGGTTTTTTTGCCTGTGGATGGCGAGTGCTTCTTTGAATAATAATACTGACCAGCGTTTTGCCATATCCAGGATGATGGAGTTTTGGAGAAGGAATAGCTTAGTCTTACCTAACGCTGGAGATTAATTTTAAAAGATCTGTATATGTAACATTATCCATTTCTGATGATGACTAAATAAAATCGAATCGTTGAATGGAAATGCTCTTGTTACCGTTGTGGTGTCTTTGATGAAAATACCAAATGCATCTAAATTCTTACTTCATTCAAGTTTTTTAGTCCTAGTTTTTAGCTCTACCACTGTTAAAGGGCTCTTTTCAGTAGGCGGAATTTTACGTGCTTTTTGTTTGTTTTTTCTTATGTTAGTTTTGCATGAAAGCGTACAGGCAATGAAAACTTACGCTCCGCGCGCAAATTCCCCCCTAGTGGTAAACAACCCTGAAACTAGCTAACTGTCCATATGATATAGAAAAATTACGTCAGGCTAATGTTTACAGTGAGTCGTGCTTCGAAAGACACCTGGTTATTAATTTGTATCAATCCACATGTTCCGACTTATATATAGATAAAGATGTGGTGAACCAACATCATCTTCCTGTGGATGAAGCAAGCAAGATGTTGCAAGAAGAACGAGCTCCTTTCGACGAGGAAATGTCAGCCAAATCACTAGGCGACAATGAAGTCGACAGGTCCCCTGGTACGCCAAAACAAGGAAAATTCTCTGAAAGCCAAAATTTGAAACTTAGTGGAACACCTAGTAAGCGTGTGTTGCAGCTGAAGCAGAGTATTATTGAACATATCCAGCGTATGGTTGAGAGTCCTTCTGCAGTTGCTGTCAACCCGAAGGAACCGCGAGAAAATGCTAGCGCTGTAGAATTACCAAAGGACACTGAAATATCGTTCAATAAAAGAAACACAGATGAAATTAACATTTTACCCCAAAGTGGCAATGAATTGCATCAGAAGCGAGATGACGACTTGCCAAACTTGCCAGAAATAGAAGCGAACAAGAAATTGGAGCTTCCGGTAGGCTTTCATATTGCGAATATAAGTTTGTATCTATTGATAACCAAGGAGCAGCGTGGCAGCGTCTTCAAACAACAATGTTGATTTGTTTCTTTTTGTTATTGATCCGCTTTTTCACTGATAGTGGCGCTGTATTTATTAGTCATGCATAATTACTGGTAGCTAATTCAGGGGTAAAAATCCACATCTAGAGCCCATAAAATATTGGCGCGCTTTTCTTAACTCTCGCAACATTCTTGCGTGTTTCGATTAGGCCATGCATCCATGCAAAAACGGAAACCATTAAGTAATTGTTTAATCAGTTCTAGAGCGAAGCGTATGAGAACAAACGTCTGTGTACATACTGATAGAACATTTGTAGGTAAGGATTAAGGAGCACGGCAGAAATTTGTATTTATGAAGTTTCAACCCGAAAATCTGATCACTGGTTCATAATTGTGTATTTCTGTATAAAGGTCATTTTTTTCTCTTTTGAATACGCAATCTCCAATCTTTTGGGAGCTCATCATATACACAACTTACAGCTGTTAAATGGTCATTTTGAGGCTTAAAGAGAATACACAATAGAAATTACGCATTTTTCCGAGTTTTATTGTGAAAGAATTTTTCGATTTTTTAAAAAAGAAAAAATCTTAGAGCCGTTTGAATCCGTGAACTCAAATAAGACTGGAACGCTAGCTCTCTGACTTTCCCTCATTAACAAGAAAAGCCAAGATGGCGGACAATGAAGCTGAGCTATATTAACATTCCTGGAAAACTTTCTTTCGGGCAGATCCACTGAGCTGACGCCACTTGGTTCAATTTACCACTTACGCTGTTTCGCTAATGCAAGAATAAATATATATTGAAACGTCAAAGAAAGGTGGACAAAAGTTAAACTACAAAATTAATTTTCATACTGACAGTCTGACACTAAATGACAGGTTTATTTTTTATTTTCTTCATGATATTTTCGTTAATTATACATTCCTATATTAAATTTAACAAATGCTCGAACTTTTTGGCACTATTTGGCCCTACTTCATATATACAATTTTAATTTTAAGTTTGGCCAACCTATAAGATGCTAAAAGAATAACATGGGAGCTTTTGAATGTAACAAGTATAAAGAAAAAAAGATTAATCATGAAACTAAATATGAAGTTTTACAACTTTTAATAATTTATTTGTATGCGACATGCTTGCATGTATGTACAGATTAGAAGGAGTAATAAACAGTCATTGTTGTGAATAATTTGATTTAAAAAAGATTTAAAATTAAGACCAAAAAGGGTCATTATATGTTTTGATACTGATCCTTATGGTAAAAATTGCTCCAAATTGCGTACTGCAGTATAAGGCATGGACAAGACATTATAGTCATCAAGGTTCCTTAACTTCATGGTCAAGGATGTATTTGGAGCTTATAAACAGAAGTATTTTTGCAACTCAAGCATTGCTTTATTTCCAACTTCAAGTTGAAGCTACTATGTCAGCAGGGTATTGCACATGTGATATTATTAATTTGTAACATCTTACAACAATTGAAGTAACCGTCAACCTATATAGCCACCATTGAATTAACAAAAAACATTACTACCATTATTCTGCCTTTAATAGAATGAAAGCAAACACATAGCCATCAGACAGTTTTGAATCCCTGTGTTAGTAGATTGGGGTGGAATGTTTATTTTTTTATAGCATGTAAATGAATATCGATCAAACTACCAAATTTTAAAAGACTTTATAGCGACATTCTGAGTGACAATATAAACAGATTAGCTGTTTTAAAATTATGTTTTATTGGTTCTGTCAGTTGCTTTTTGATTATCAAGCAAAAGCAACTTAACGACATTACTCACAACATGCCTCTCAATAACTGAATGGTATTAGTGTACATGGTTAAAATGGTCCAGCCATATTTTTCACTTTAGAATTTAGAATAAGCTTGCTTTGACTATATATGATCAAAACCATGCATTAGGCTATATCCTCTCGAGTATATATAAAAAAGACTTTCCAACATATATAACTTCGACGTGGCAGTAAATACACTGTATTGTAATATATAACCAGCTATGAACTGACATATGAAACCACGCAAAGGAGATTTTAACAGTGTTTGTCCATCGCCCGAGCTTTAAAGTTACATATTACCTGTCCCATATGATAGATCTTCGTGTCTTGGTTAAGGTTCCGTCCACACGTATCCGTATAAATTTGAAAACGGATAAATATTTATACGGTTACGGGTTCCGTCCACACGTATCCGGCGTTTTCGCCCACTGAAATGGCTTATCAGGATAAATTTGAAAACGATGAAGCAACGTTTCAAGCCCAGTCCAACACGCGCTCTCGGCCAATCATTAAATAACGAACAAGCTGTAGTTTCGATATTATTGCGGCTTATTTCAAGCCTCGTGGCTTAATTTAAGCTTCATAGTGCCATTCTAAATTATCAAGCAGATTATCTGAAGAAGCGCAGAAATATAATTCGGTTTCTCTCATTGTCGAAATGAGACAATGTTATTCGACTTCAAAACAAAACGTAAAACGGCTCAACCAAAGACGTCTGGCGAAACCTCGTTGGATTAGACCTGGGCGAACAAGGGCAAATTTTGTCAACCAAATCGTTTTTCCAGAGGACAGATTTCGTACACATGTTTCGCTCTAAGCAGCATGCCCAGTAGGCGATGTTAGCGTTTTCAAATTGTTTTCACGTTTTCGTGTGGACGCCAAAATCTGGTCAGAAGCGACAACGTGTCGACGCAGATTTTTTTTGTAAACGGATAAATATCCGTTGTCAAATGTATCCGGACACGTGTGGACGGGGCCTAAAATTTTCACATTTTAGTGCTTTATCGTCACAAAAATCGAGCTAATAGACACTAGCCGAATTAATATTAGCTACAGACAAACTCGTCAGATGTGACTTTCCCGTCTAAAGGAAACTTTCCTCTTTCTTTAACTTCCCAATTCATATTCACACGCATTTTTACATAAAATCACGAAAAATGCACAAATGTAAATTTCCCTCATTCGTTATAGGTTTCTATGGGACATCGCCATGGCCGCGAGCCCGCCCCAATGTTTTCATGCATTGTTTTCTCATTCGGGTTTTAATATCCCGGTAAAACACTCGCTCTCGCTGTTCTTATGTTACATCCAAAATTCAACTTCAATTTCTATTTAAAGTGTCACATTTCGTTGCCTCAAATCACTCTTTTGTCTTAAGATATTTAAAAAGACTTCTCTATTTCATCACAGGTAAACCTGGACCAACCGAGTGAGATGCAGAGTGAGTTGAGTTCCACAGAACATACCGAAGCATTGAGTGACCCCAACTTTACATCGTGTGGTTCACAAACTACATCAAATGATCCGGAAACATGCGATCCACTGGCAACCGTGCCCAGAAATTCAAGCATTGAACTTGGTCGGCATTCTGAAGGCATAGTCGAGAACACGTCGATCAGTAAGAAAACCTCAAATCAGTGTAACCCACTAGAAGCTGATGTTTCAGTGTCTGAATCTGAAAAAGTTTTTGAACCTCAAGCAAATGAGGCTGAAAATATCCTGGGAAAATCTGAGCCCCAGTTGGTGCAGCAAGGTGTCCAAAGTGATGTTTGCAACTCCCCAATAGGGAATGGTGCCCAAACTAAGAATGGAGGGAGCGAAATGGTAAATATACGCTAAACTTTATTAATTTTAAAATATATTATTTAGCTATATACCACCAACCAATCTTGTTGTGATAAAATTTAACGATTTTATTAAAGTTTAATCAAGTTGTATTTTTAGATTATCAGTAATAGAACGAATGCCGTACAATTAGTGCCAAAATCATGCTCGTAGTTAACAAATGTTGCTTGTGCTGAGCGATGTTGCTCGTACAATTAGAGATTAATTGTATTTGTGATATTTGAAATTTTGACAAAATTTTCTATAAAAACGTCACTCGTATTGCAATAATATTTCAGATATTCTAGAGTACCCCGCTGAATAGCTGGCAAAAATTTAACACTTCCCGATCTCTGATTCACATACTATACTTATCAACAAAAACCCATTTATCCGTAATAATCTTTGAAATTGAACATTTTGTAAATCGTTTTGCAAAAATCGAGCAAAATGCGCAAATGTAAATTTCCCTCACTCGTTATAGATTTGTATGGGAAATGGCTCTGGCCGCGAGCTCGCCCCAATGTTTTCATACATTGTTTTCTCGGTTTGAATATCCCGGTAAAAAACATTCGCTCTCGCTGTTCATATATTACATCCAAAATTTAACTTTAAGTCCCATTTAAAGTGTCACATCTCGTTGCCTCAAAGCATTCTCGTCTCTTAGGTATTTAAAAAAACTTCTCTATTTCATCACAGGTAAGCCTGGACCAACCGAGTGAGATGCAGCGTGAGTTGAGTTCCACGGAACATACCGAAGCATTGAATGACTCCAACTTTACATCGTGTGGTTCACAAACTACATCAAATGGTCCGGAAACGCGCGATCCACTGGCGACCGTGCGCAGAAATTCAAGTATTGAGCTTGGTCATTCTGAAGGCATAGTCGAAAACACGTCGATCAGTACGAAAACCTCAAATGAGTGTAACCCACTAGAAGGTGATGTTTCAGTGTCTAAATCTGAAAAAGTTGTTGAACCTCAAGCAAATGAGGCTGAAAATATCCTGGAAAAATCTGAGCCCCAGTTGGTTCAGCAAGATGTCCAAAGTGATGTTTGCAACTCCCCAATAGGGAATGATGCCCGAACTGAGAATGGAGAGAGCAAAATGGTAAATATACGCTAAACTTTAATAATTTTAAAATATGCTATTTAGCTATAATTATACCACCGACAAATCTTGTTGTGATAAAATTTAACGATTTTATTGAAGCTCAATAAAGTAGTATTTTTAGATTACAGAAGATATATAATTAATTAATTAGTAATAGAACGAATTAAGTCCTACAATTAATGCCAAAATCATGCTCGTAGTTAACAAATGCTGCTCGTGCTGAGTGATGTTGCTCGTACAATTGGGGATTAATTGTATTTGTGATGTTTGAAATTTTCACAAAATTTTCTATAAAAATTTCACTCGTATTGCAATAATATTTTCGATGCCTAGAGCACCTCGTTGAAAAGCTGGCCTTCGGCGTATACGCGTTTTGTATAAATAAGAACTATATATTAATAATGTTAAGCTAGTGGGTTTTCCGGCGGTGCAACGTAGTCCAGTGTTAAGCGGTTAGTCTCTGGTGCGCTATGACTGGGTGCGAATACGCGCTTTTACTTTCTAATTTTTTCTTACCTTTTTTTATCTTTTGATATTTTTGCAAACCCCGGAAATAAACCAATGAAAATATCTTTAGGTTAGTTTTTCGGTTATTTGATGTCTGACTTATTTTTCGAGTTTCTTTGTTTTTTTAAAAGTTCGAGCGTTTAGCGGAGGCCTGGAGATGAAGTGATGTACCATATCTGAAATAGCTTCATCGTTAATTCCAAATTTGACTCGCTATCGCATAATTACCTAAAATTAAATCAAGTAAGCATACAAAATAACCAAATAAAGTTTGCTTTAATTATAACCCCTCCTGCAATATAAACATCAGGAATAATCGTGCATTGTGTATCTTAATCAATTCTTACCTATCTTTCACTTCGTTAGAAATTGTAAAGAATTCACCTTCCGAAAAACCTTTGTCTCGATTCATTTAAGAAGCCACATGAACAACTTCTGTTCGTGTCTCACCGGGATATCCAAACACTTGAAAACGAATAATTAAAACATTCGTTCTTCGCACTTCTGTTTTCATACATTGCTTTCTCATGCAGTCGGGTTTGAATATCCCGGTGAGACACTCGCTCTCGCTGTTGATATATTACATCCAAAATTTAACTTGAAGTCCTATTTAAAGTGTCGCATATCGTTTCTTCAAATCACTCTTTTGTCTTAATATATTTGAAAAAACTTCTCTATTTCATCACAGGTAAGCCTGGACCAACCGAATGAGATGCAGCGTGAGTTGAGTTCCACAGAACATACCGAAGCATTGAATGACTCCAACTTTACATTGAGTGGTTCCCAAACTACATCAAATAATCCTCCGGAAACACGCGATCCACTTGCAACCGTGCGCAGAAATTCAAGCATCGAACGTATAAGCGAACTTGGTCATTCTGAAGGCATAGTCGAGAACACGTCGATCAGTACGAAAACTTCAAATCAGTGTAACCCACTAGAAGCTGATGTTTCAGTGTCTAAATCTGAAAAAGTTGTTGAACCTCAAGCAAATGAGGCTGAAAATATCCTGGGAAAATCTGAGCCCCAGTTGGTGCAGCAAGATGTCCAAAGTGATGTTTGCAACCCCCCAATAGGGAATGATGCCCGAAATGAGAATGGAGAGAGCAAAATGGTAAATATTACGCTAAACTTTAATAATTTTAAAATATGCTATTTAGATATATACCACCAATCAATCTTGTTGTGATAAAATTTAACGATTTTATTGAAATTAAATAAAGTTGTATCTTCAGATTACAGAAGATATATAATAATTAATGAGTAATAGAACGAATTAAGTCTTGATATTAATGCCAAAATCATACTCGTGGTTAAAAAATGTTGCTCGTGTTGAGCGATGTTGCATCTACAATTAGGAATTAATAGTATTCATGATGTTTGAAATTTTGAGAAAATTTTCTATAAAAACTTCACTCGTATTGCCATAATATTTCAGATATGCTAGAGCACCTCGTTGAATAGCTGGCCTTCGGCGTATATGTGTTTTGTATAAAAAAGAACTATATATTAACAATGTTAGGCTAGTGGGTTTTCCGGCGGTGCAAAGTAGTGGAGTGTTAAGCGGTTTTGATCTCTGGTGCGGTATGTCTGGGTGCGAATACGCGCCGTTTACTTTCTATTTCTTTTACCTTTTTTTCTCTTTTGATGTTTGCAAACCCTGGAAATGAACCACTGAAAATATCTTTAGGTTAGTGTTTGGGTTATTTGATGTCTGATTCATTTTTTTGAGTTTCTTTGTTTTCTCAAAAGTGCGAGCGTTTAGCGGAGGCCTGGACACAGAGTACACAGAGGTGGAACTCGCGGCAAATCTTGTCCCCCTGTTTTTAATGCGCATGCGCTAGGCTCTGGCAAGTGTTTTTGCACTTTTTAATAAGGAAAATTCGATTTTTTAGCAGAAAAAATGCAATTTTAAAGCCAAGGATCTTTTGCTCTTCGTTTTTTTGACAAATTTTATTTATCCATCCGACATTGCTCCTTTTGGATTAAAAATGACTGCGATAATACGAATTAAAACGGGAAAAAAACGGGAAATACAACTACGAGGAGTGCGATTTTCACACGAAGCTTCTAGAACTGCCAGGTAAAAATTCAAAGTTTTGTATTTCATCTAATAAATGTAGGTCTATCTGACTATATTTCGCCAACATGCAGTCGTATTTTTTTCAAGATGGCGAAACAATCTTCTCAAAGTCAGTTAACTTTTGAGCAGACGACATATACAGACACTGACTTCTACTGTTCAAGAAGATAGCAAGTTTATAGATAGCTATTAAAAAAGGTTTACAACGTATACGCAGTTTACTGATATTTATGAACCCTATTATATCTCCTATGTGTATTATTATTTCACTTTGGACTCTTCGGCTCTCTTTGGGCTGGCACCAATGGAAATTCTAGTACTGAATTATCTAGCAGCAGCAGCAGCAGCAGCAGCAGCAGCAAGGTTAGACAATGGTTATAGAATTATAGCTTGCATATTAGTATAAGAAATTTATGTTATTCATATATAGGTAAGCTTTTATATTACCATTCTTATGCATTAACTGCTCAAATTATATAGGCTTGGTCTAAATTCATTCATGTAATTAATCTCAACAAAAAGCCTTGTTTTTGAATCTATCCATGCAATGCACATTCTACAACATTAAAACTCCATGTAAAAGGGATTAAGGGAAGGTTAGGACACATTGAGTTCATCACCATATTATAGTTTCAGAGCAAAAAATATTTATATTTTTCATTATATTCACATCTAAAAATTGGAAAATAGCTTTCAATCTTCTCTTAGAAGCCACACAGAATTGCATAGATTAGATTGGAAATTGATTTGCATGTCCTTCATGAATATTACAATCATGTATGAACTGAAATTAATATCTGTTAGCATTTACCATTTGTGTGTAAAGTTGGATTTATACTCGTGTAAAAAGTATTGTATAATTATATAGGTAAAAGTTGTATTTGTTTATTGTAAATCCTTTGAATTCAAGTTCAAGATTCGAATAAAAAACATAGTTTTTGCTAGTTTTATGGCAAAATAAATTATTTTCAAAGAAATTTTTTCGTGTGTTTTGAATTGTAGAAATGACACATCAATCATCTTTAACCTAACGCATATATTTTTTACAAAAACACAACCATTTACCGTTTGTTTTTAAAATTTAGCCGCAAAAATAGAGATCGATAGAGCCAGCTTTAAAATATTAACATTTTTCGTCTTTCGAACACCTTTTCCCCTTACTTTAGAGTCAAAATACACTTGCCAGAGCAATTTGCGTGGCGCGTGGAATGGCGTAGGCAGGGGGACAGCAACATCAAAGGGTTCCGCCGCAAGTTCCATAACTGTATATCATTAAACTGTGGCCTGGAGATGAAGTGATCTACCATATCTTAAATAGCTTCATCGTTAATTCCAAATTTTACTCGCAATCGCATAATTGCCTAAAATCAAATCAAGTCAGCATACAAAATAACCAAATAAAAATACCCCAATAAAACTTTGCTTTAATTATAACCACTCCTGCAAAAAAACATCAATAATAATCGTGCATTGCGTAACACAATCGGTTCTTACCTATCTTTCACGTGGTTAGAAATTGTAAAGAACTCACTTTCCGGAAACCTTTTGTCTCGATTCATTTGAGAAGCCACATCAACCACTTCTGTTCGTGTCTCTCCGGGATATCCAAACACTTGAAAACGATTAATTAAAAGATTCGTTCTACACACTCCTGTTTTCATACATTGTTTTCTCAGTCGGGTTGGAATATCCCGGTGAGACACTCGCTCTCGCTGTCCATATATTACATCCAAAATTTAGCTTGAAGTCCTATTTTAAGTGTCGCATCTCGTTGCCTCACATCCCTCTTTTCTCTTTAAAAAAGCTTTTCTATTTCATCACAGGTGAACCTGGACCAACCGGGTGAGATGCAGAGTGAGTTGAGTTCCACAGAACATACCGAATTATTGAATAACTCCAACTTTACATCGTGTGGTTCACAAACAAGATCAAATGATTCGGAAACACGCGATCCACTGGCGACCATGCGCAGAAATTCAAGCATTGAACTTGGTCGGCATTCTGAAGGCATAGTCGAGGACACGTCGATCAGTACGAAAACCTCAAATCAGTATAACCTACTAGAAGCTGATGTTTCAGTGTCTGAATCTGAAAAAATTGTTGAATTTCAAGCAAATGAGCCTGAAAATATCCTGGGAAAATCTGAGCCCCAGTTGGTGCAGCAAGGCGTCCAAAGTGATGTTTGCAACTCCCCAATAAATGAACACAGCAAAATGGCAGCAGGTGATTTCCAATTTCCCGATAACAGTTCTCCGGTTGTGCATTCTAAACCAGATGATTTAACTAGGGACACTGTGGAACATCAGTCTCAGCCCGGCCTTCAAGACTCTCTAAAGGCATTAACTAATGGGAAAATTGGCGTTGCAAAAACAAATCGTAAAAACGATCTTCCTTTAAACGAAATTTGCAGCGCGCAAAAATTAGACAAAGCGGCTTCAAATGGGGATTATCTCAAGGTATCACAAAAGGTCGACAGTCTTAATGCAGAACAACGAAAACAACATAATTTAGATGACGTCTTCAGCTCTGAAGAAGCAAAACAACAGACGTTAAACGATAGTTTAACAGAGGTATTTGCTTCTAGGGGAGAAAAATCGACTGAAAAATCAGAGGGCTTGGGAATACGTATTGCCGAGGAAGAAAAATTGCACACGTTGAACGATAATACTACTCAGGTATTGGGCGAACAGACCGTTACTTTGAACAAAGAGGTTTCTCGGGAACAAAAAGCAAATGAATCATTAACTTGGCATGACTTAAAAGGCCTTCCTGCTGATGAAAAAAGGAAACTAGAGACGTTGAACGAACTCAACCGCGCACAGGTTTGTGAACCAGAAAACAACAAGAACGGAGAACAATGTAAGTTAAATATGGTTTCTGGCACAAGAGATTTCTCTTCTCGTAGCGAAGATAATGTCACAAACGAAGAGGAATTGGCCGTACCAGTCCCGGAAGCCAATATGCAATTAATTCTCAGAGTTCTGGATTCACAGGAAGGGGCTAAAACGTCCATTCGTGTTCTGGAGGAAGATGACATTGGACTTGCCACGTTAGACAGGTTTTGTAATGTGAAGGACTCCGAGGGATGCGATTCCAAAGATATTGATGTTTATCTCAGAATTTTGAACAAAACGGGAAGACCTTTAGGTATCGAGGTGGATAGTACAGAACAGCTTGTCGGAAACTTGACATCAAGTGGATCCACGCAAGTGCATTGTCTCACTTCACAGGCACTCCAAGAAACTGCAGCTGAATTAGTACAACGACAACCTATCAGCAATCCTGCACCTAATTCTAGAAAAAAGAGGAGAAAACTAACTGGGATTTATAGAGAAATTCTCTCAAGAAAGCCCACTCGCACAAGAGATAATTACCCAAAATAATGCCGATGCCGGTGTAAACTATTACGATATCGGGAATTCTTGGCAAAGGCATTACTGAGATGACGAAAACAATTCTGAACGAACGTCACAGGTTTAAATTGCGTTTTTTTATTTACCCAGTTGTGTTAATGTTTTTTTTGTTTTGTTTTCGCTGGCGGCATGCGATATATAGTAAAGTGAAAAGCTATCTTCATGGCCAACACCATCGATATAAATAAACCTGGTTATATACAACAGATGTCAAATCTTACTTTCTCCATTTTATAATTAGAGGTTTACTTTAGTGCCCTGTTATGATAGCTTAAAACTAGTTCATGTCCGGAATCATCATCATGTGGTAATGTAGCGATATACCATCATATACCATCATATAGTGTGACATTGCATCACATATCACCAATCATATGACTTCGCATCATATTACATCACATAAGCCCCGTCTACGGCTAAAATGGGTACTCGTGCCCAATTTTATTAGTGTTCAGGCTACCATAACAAAGGCTGGACACGAATGAAATGGGCACAGGTACCCATTTTAGCCGTGCCGTGCCAATAAATTGAGGGTAGTGTAATCGGGTCTATAGTACGATGTCATTATGCATTACATAGTAACCTATCATTGTAGAATCGCATAATATCATATAGCATGATTCATATATTGCCCTATAGACCTTACTATTCTGTCTTTGAAACATACAAAAACTCGTATTACGACATATTGGAAATTGGAAAGTGTTTTACTGCATGCTAGGAGCAAAATTTTAATTCAATGATGATAATATCGCAGCTAACGTAATTTGAGTACTTTGAATATAATGTTTCCAGTAATTCGACGGTTACGCGTACCGTCCACACGTATCCGGCGTTTTCTCCCACTCAAAAAGGGAGAATCTGAAAACGCTCTCCGGAGTGGAAGAATTTGAAAACGACGGCTGAGCGAATACGAATGGACGGCTTTGCCGGATAAATTTGAAAACGACGACGTCACTTATCAAATCGTTTCCATACTAATAAGGCTTGTTTCACTTCTTGTGGCTTATGCTCAACTTTATATTGCTACATTACCGTCAAATGAGTCCTATTTAAAACATAGTCTGAAATATTAACCGTTTGTGGTGACCTGATGAAAAACTGAAGTTGGTTGCTAGGAGACCATGTAAAGACAGCTAGTGAAGTTTATTTTAGTTATTTGTCCTTCATCAGCTGTATTTGGTGTTTTTGATAAGAATAAAGCATTGTTATTACGAACTTCTGTATTCGAAATATAACCATTATTAATCTTGCACACGAGTCGCTTTGGATTCTAGTCCATATTCCTTATAAGGGTTTTCCACCCCAGCTCAGCCTAAGCAGCTTCTGAAGCACCGTGCTCGTTGGGATAACCCAAAACTATTCTCGCAGCCCTGTTTTAAATCCTTCGCAGTTTATTAGATCATTATACCCATTCTGAAATCAATGGCGTTTCCTGCTAGATATTTGTTTGCGAATTCTATCAATAACTATAGTTAAACCATGAATAATTAATTAGGTTTATACCCAACCAAATTTCGTGAATGCTAACTCTGCATGTATACCCCATACAAATGAGTTTGAATAGATATGCAAAATCATTGCACAAATTGTTTACAACACTCGCAGGCAATAGTTGCCGTGTTTGCGCGCTCGTGATTCTATATTCAATACAACACAGCCCGCTCTTGTTGTAAGCATCGCATAATATATAATAGAAACAGATGTGGGAATTCCAGACAGTGGGGAATAATCAGTAGGATAGCGTTTTCCCAAACCCTCCAAATGCTTCTATTAACGGCAATGCCTTACAAAAAACGCGTGGTCTTTGTCATGCGTATAATACAATTATTATACTCCGACGTGGCGACGGAGTTGAAAACTCGCCTTAGTTTTTTGGTGTGTTTTTTTACGTCGTCGCAGGTGTGTTTTATCGCGAAATATACTTGTATTTGAAATGTGTATTGAAGTGTGACCGTATTTATCTAAGTCACCGTTTTGTCTCCTAAGAGTTGTGGTGCACAGCATTGGCTAATTTTCCGATGCGCGATTCGATTTCCCTCGCATGATACGGCAATTCCTCCAACAGGAACCAATAAACCGTTCTTTTTGCTGTTCAATTAAGTTTAGATTTAATTTGGATCAGAATATATTTAATACATGTAGATTCTGGTCCTATTTTAATAATATCGCTGCTATTTCGCCGTATAACAATATGTGGTCGTGTATGGCGCGTTGACACATCGCAGTTTGCACAGGATTGAAGATTTAATATAACTATATATATAAGCGCGAATTCCAAAGGCAAAGTGTAAGTCAAAGTGAACGTGTCATGCCATTTATTTACATTTTTGAACAATTGAATTTCTATACTTTTTAAAGTACGATGCATGTGCTTCTGAATTTCGTGGTCGAACAACATTTAGGTTGGCAAGGTATCTAAATGAGTATGAACTGTATTGTTTATGTTCAGAAATTTTATATTGACTGGCACGTGAACGCCACGCCGGAGTTAATGCCGGAACAGGCGTCTTGTTTACAGGAAAATGTCGCGCACATTTACATCCACATCGTTATTTGGCCGTTAGTATTCAAAATGTCCAGAATAGATTATTGTGTCAGAAAACACCATTCATATAAGACCGATTTAAAAATTTATCAACTTGATTTAAGATAGTTACCTTAATACATGTCAACACTGAATTAAGAAGGATTTATCGCCTACCAATACGTCATTGTTTTTTTTTGTTTTTTTTTGTTTTATAGAGCTCCAAAAGGAAGTGGTCTCAATCTTCAATGATGAATTCACTACTCCGAGTTCACGATATCCGTATTTCATCGAAGTTTACCGTTGCGTTAAAAGCGATTTCATTTTCGCCTTAAATTATGATTCGTCCTGCTATCCAGTGCAAAAAACGATGACAGAAATCGAAATAGTTGTTCCAGATCTTACCAATAACAAACGGGATCCTAGCCGCAAAAGGAAGTTTTATAAATATATGGTATTGAATCACACATCTTGTAAATGTGGCAGACTCGATGAGAGGAAACTTTATAACACCTCATCCAACAACCTTGGTGAGTATGTAGAATAAAGGTCGTTGTATCACACAATCTCAGTACCAACGCGCGGGATAGTAAACGAATGAATATTAATAACGCTTTCTATTTATTTAAATTTATTTATATATTTTTAATTTATTAAAATATTTATACACGGTAGCTTATCAACCCTAATTTAACGAAGAGAAATGGTGGCTTTTCAAATAGGTGGTGTGAAATCTAATATATTCACACTACAACAACTAATAACTATATAATAACTACATACAAAGGACGTGAGACATTATTAAATAGTAACAGAAGGAAATTATTCCAAGTAGATTATTTAGCACCATGCATGGTAGCTGAAACTTCGCTTTATTGCGTTTGTTTTTGATTTTGCCAATTTCAAATTTGTAAAATTACTACATAGGTTATTATTTTCATTGACAGAAATGTGAAACTGTAGTGAGATTAAAATAGGAAACTCGTTTTTTAATATTTTGCGCATAAACAACTAAAACAAGAGCGAGTCAATCCATCTTAAATAATTCAACGGTTGCAAATTCAATTTGTTCAGAACATCTTTCGAAACCACCCCCCCCCCCCAATTATCTCCTGTTATAACTCTTTGCTGTCCTAATTTGAAGCTTTTGAAGTTTAGATTGCACTGCACCGGCATCGCATAAGCGTAGATTCGATTTCTGCCGGAGGACCGATAGTCGAGTAATTTTTCTCAACTGTTCCTGGTTTGAATGAGTTGTTTATGATTCTACTCGAAATTAAGACCCTTTAAGAACCTTCAGAATTTACCTACATCGAGTGAAGTGCAACAAAATAGTAATATTTAGGTACATTATCGAGTTATTCAATAATGAACCTACGTCGGATATACCATATATATATCCAGGTATTATAGTAGTAGTATAGTATTAATTGAGGTATTATAATAGTCCTATGTTTGCTTTAAACGTCGTTTTTTATCTTTTGAAAACTGACATTCCGCATTCTGCAATTAAAAACTTGGTATAGATAAACCCTTTCGAACCCTAGGGTTTAAGCGCCGCGGGTTGTTATAACCAGCAAAGATAAGTCTTTTACGTATACATGATTACGAGCAGCCGCATCCAGAAACAAACCATTTCCCAAAACGAAATTTCCACATTGTCTTGATCGCGTATTACATCTTTTTTTTGTAGTGTCAGAGAGCTATTTCATGAAAAATTATCCCAACAATCCAAAGAATTTACGAAGTGAGCGTAATTTTTGCAAGAAGTCGCGAACAAGATATAAACTCCTTCCAAACCATTATGCGGTCGAGTACCCCTCCAAATTAATTACTGCAAGATTTCATAGTGTCGTCCTTAAAAGCGATCTGAAATGCAAAGCGTATGACAATCCAATGTCAAGTGAGGGTTCCTGTTGAACGACTCTGGAGATCCATTTTATCAAGGTATTCAATCTGTACAGGTGTGCATTGAAGAAAATTGTTTCGTCAGATATGTATTAGCATGCAGCTTCTCTTTAAAATCAATTAGAATTCACTCATACTTTCCCATTGGAAGCAAAACGAATATAGAGATAAATATATCAAGCTTTAATTAAGATTTATGACTTACCTCCCGCGTATGTTATGACCATATCCTGCAATGGTGCATCTATTGGAACAGTGGGGTATATTAAGGGCTCTAAGAATGCACGTTCCCCAAGCTTTATTAAGATTTATGACTTACCTCCCGCGTATGTTATGACCATATCCTGCAATGGTGCATCTATTGGAACAGCTAGTGGGGTATATTAAGGGCTCTAAGAATGCACGCTCTGTTGATCCTTTAGGATCCACATTGGTATATCTGGTGTCAGTATAAAGAAACCAATGAAAATTGATCACTGATTTTCTAAACTCCGGATTGAAGGAACAAACCATAGACAGCCCAAATATGCGTGATAACCTACAAATAGCTGTAATGATTACTAGACTATTTCGACAAAATTGCTAAAAAATTCTCGTGTTCATAAAAATAATGTTGTAGACCATTGCTTAACATATTTTGCGAAAAAATGGTTTTATTTGAATCGTTGTAAAACTTTTGAGATAAATAATTCTGTAAAACAGACTTCTATGATTGTAAAACATTTTCGTCTCTACAACAGATTCGTTTTTTTAAAAAGTTTTTGGTCTCAGGCTCGGTGAGTGTCGCTAAATAAGACCTCAACTTCGTATGCTAATATCGATTAAAGCCACGTCTCCAATGATACCACTAATCATTTCTTAATTCAAGGCTTAAATATTCTTTTAGCTATTCACCGATTCTATATTTTTCTCTCGGCTTTTATTCAGTGATATTTAATTTCGCCTTCGGCGAGCAATTGGTAATAAAATAGTAACAATATAATATTTAAACTAAAAAAATAATTATTCTATTTTTTAGTGAAAGGAAACGTGAGTGTTACTTGTGGAATTATGCTTAATATTCGCTTCTGTTTATTATTAACATGACATTCAGCTGAAAAAATATTGATCCTACACATTTTGAAATAAGAGAAATATAATAATCATTGTAATAATAATAATTTATATAGATTACTCCTATACGGCAAACTTGTAAACTATGTGCTAGGTAATTTATAATTTTTAATTAATTTCATCAGTATACTGAAGTTTTTACCGTATTTAATTAAAATTAACTTACTTACTTACTTACTTACTTATTTGCATAATTTTCACACACCTATTTGAAAGTCCGCATATAAGCGCCATTCCCCCCTCCCCCCGCCATTTTCATCTTAATTAATGTGAACGAAGCTAATAGTTTTAATGTTTTGATTCATCGTTGCTCTGATCTTAACATCTCTAAATGATCTAAAGGTTCACAACAATGAAAAGAAAAAAGTAGCAGCAACATTTGAAAGTATAAACATGTCTTTATACAACATGCACCTCTCCAATCCAGATATCTCGCTGTTATGAATATATTTCCAAATGTACAATTCGTCATGTCAGGACTGGTTGAGGTCCATCCCCTGCGAATGATGGAAGCGCGTGGGAAGGGATGAAAAATTGCCATATCGGAATCTTGTGTAA